TGATCCACCCGCCTCGGCCTCCCAAAGTGCTGGCATTACAGGCTTGAGCCACCTCGCCCAGCCAATTTTTGTACTTTTATTAGAGATGGGGGCTTCACCATGTTGGTCAGGGTGGTCTTGAACTCCTGACCTTGTGATCTGCCTGCCTCGGCCTCCCAAAGTGCTGGGATTACAAGCGTGAGCCACCACGCCTGGCCTTTATTTTATTTTATTTTTGAGACAGAGTCTCACTCTGTTGCCCTGGCTGGCGTGCAGTGGCATGATCTCGGCTCACTGCAACCTCTGCCTCCTCAGTTAAAGTGATTCTCGTGCCTCAACCACCCAAGTAGACGTGACTAAATGTGTGTGCCACCATGCCCAGCTAATTTATGTGTTTTAGTAGAGCTGGGGTTTCACCATGTTTGCCAGGCTGGCCCACCCCAAATTCCAGGTGGTGGGCGGCCTCTGGGACTGACGCTCTGCAGATGGGTGTTGGGGAGGAGGCTGGATATTATGTCACATGGGGGAAGGTGGCCTGGAAGTGCCTAGGGAAGGCAGCCTTATAAAACAGAGGCAGGGCCTGGGGCAGCTCCAAGCCATCCTGTCATCCATTCAGCCTGAATCGGTGGGCAAGGAAGGGGCACCAAGGGACATTCCCCAAAACAACTTCTCGGAGTCCCCAGAACGTCAGTATCGTGCCGGCTGCCAGCAGCGGGGTGGCTGCCCTGGGCCAGGAGAACATGGTTTTTGCTCGTTTGCTAAAATGGCACCATGGAGACAACTGCAGAATCAGGATGAAGTGTGCAGAGGAGGGCACAGGACATCGCAGAGTGAACTTTCTGACTGTGATGCTTGTACTGGGTTGTGTAAGAGACTGGGCTTGTTCTTAGGCAAGACTGAGGAAGTATTTGGGCAAAGGGGCTTCAGGTCTGCAACTGCTCTCAGAGGTTCAGAAAGTGAAATACACACGAGAGAGAGAGATGGGGCAGGGAGGATGAGAAACAGTCGTGGTAACATGTCAGCAACCGGGGCATCTGGCTGATGGAGTTCTTGTATTATTGCTACACAACTGAAATTATTTCGAAATAAAAAGTTACAAAAATTAAAAGAACCAAAGTCAGTTTCAAGAAAGAAACAAGTCTGAGAACACGTGCTGACTGCAGGAGACTAGGCGGACGCGGGTAGTCAGGGCGGACCCTCCTGGGTCCCGGGAAAACCAGCTGCCATGACGGCGGCAGCTGGACGCAGCAAGTGAGCCTGGGCAGGGTGTCAGACGCCAGCACGGCCGTGTGAATTTCCTGCATGTGGAGTCACAGGCGGACTTGCGAGAGGTCCCTGCTCTTTGGAGGTGCTCCCTGGATTTCACGATGTCTGCAGCCCTCTCATGTGGCTCCCCAAAAATACATTTATAGGGCCAGGTGCAGTGGCTCACACCTGTAATCTTAGGACTTTGGGAGCCCGAGGCGGGCAGATCACCTGAGGTTGGGAGTTCGAGACCAGCCTGACCAATACGGCAAAACCCTGTCTCTACTAAAAATACAAAGATTAGCTGGGCTGTGGTGGCAGGTGCCTGTAATCCCAGCTACTCAGGAGGCTGAGGCAGGAGGATCACTTGAACTCGGGAGGCAGAGGTTGCAGTGAGCTAAGATCGTGCCACTGCACTCCAGCCAATGTGACAGAGGGAGACAAAAAAAAAAAAAAAAAAAAAAAAACCATTTACAGGAGAGAAGGGTGAGGGGAGAGCCCACGGGATCCGAACGGGGATACACAGGGGTTCATGCACCCTGAACTTCACCCCAGCCCCGTCTCTCAATTTTTCTTTCTCTAGCCACTAGATGTCTCTGTGCTGCCCAACCAGGCGGTGGCTTTTTCTTTTCTTCTACCTTTTTTTTTAAAGTAGAGATGGGGTCTCACTATGTTGCCCAGGCTGGTCTTGAACTCCTGACTTCAGATGATGCACCCACCTCAGCCTCCCAAAGTGCTGGAATTACAGGTGTGAGTCACCATACCCCAGCCTTCATTTTTAAAAAGCGCTTAACGTTTCTAAGATGGCGAATCAAACCTTTGCCCTTGCTCTCCGACCCTCCTCTCTCTCACCCACCCCGTGTTAAGGTGGCCTCTTCTCAAATGAGCTGCTTCTCTGGTTTCTCGGGGGCCACCCAGCCCACTTGACCTCTGCGGCAAGGAATTCTCCACCAGGTGGGTCTCTGCTGCCCCCCCGTGGCCATCGGCAGTAGCGCAGACCAGGCCACCTGGAGGGCTGACACCTCGTGTTCTCTCCTGCCCTAGATAATCCGGGTTCTGTAAAGACGCAGAACCAGTCGGACATGGATTTACCTAAAGGACTGGCTCACAGGACACAGAGAAGACACTGCAGGAGGCCGGTGCATGAAGGGATTAATTCACCAAGGGGGATAATCCAAAACTCTCTCCAGGACCTGGCTGTTCCTCAGGAAGTTAAAACACATCCCTTAAAGGGGCCGGGTGCAGTGGCTCACGCCTGTAATCCCAGCACTTTGGGAGGCTGAGGTGGGTGGAGCACCTTATGTCAGGAGTTCGAGACCAGCCTGTCCAACATGGCGAAACCCTGTGTCTACTAAAAATACCAAAATTAGCTAGACATGGTGGTGCGCACCTGTAATCTCAGCTACTTGGGAGGCTGAGGCAGGGGAATCGCTTGAACCTGGGAGGTGGACGTTGCAGTGAGAGGAGATCTCACCATTGTACACTCCAGCCTGGGCAACAAGAGTGAAATGCATCTCCAAAAACAAACAAACAGAAAAAAACACAAACAAAACTGCATCCCTTACGACAGACAACCCCAAATGCCAGCAGAGCAAAGCATCCAAGCAAGGAAGACTTGGGGGGAGTGACGGGGTGCTGGAGGAAGGGAGAGGGCAGGAGGGAGGTCAGGTGCCCCAGAGAGACCCTGTGGGGACCAGGGGATGGTTTGCTCTCTTCGGAGCCTGTGGCTCCTGTGGCTTCGGAGCCCCTGCATGTCCTGGGGCTCCCATATCAAAATTACCCCAAGCTGGGGGCTTAAAACCACAGAAGTTTCTTCTCTCCCAATTCTGGAGCCAGAGTCTGAAATCAAGGTTCTAGAGGGCTGCACTCCCTCCTGGCAGCTCCCCGTGCTCCTGGCTCACACTGCATGGCTCCTGTCCCTGCCCTGGGGCCACGTGGCCATCTCCCCTGGTGTGTTGCCATCTCTTCTTCTCATAAGGACCCCAGTGGGGGGATCAGCCACCCTCCTCTGGCGTGACTCAGCTGATCACACCTGCAATGACCCTGTTTCCAAATAAGGCCACACTCTGAGGTCCCCAGGAGGATATGCATTCTGGGGGCACACTCTTCCCCAAGAGGGAAGGAAGCAGAGAGCAGAAGACAGACTTGCCTGGGGCCCAGTGACAGCTGCATGGCATAAAGGGGACATGGGACCCCCCCAACAGCCTGGCACAGAAAGGGAGGAGCCACGCTGACCATGGAACCCCAGGAGCTACTTAGAGCCATCCCGTGGGAGGTTGGGGGGTTCATGCCCAAACAGAGAATGGGGACCCAGCAGGGACGGAGCTGGGGTGGTCCATACATTGTTCAGGGTCTGCAGGGAAACAGGTCAGGACACCTGCAAAGGGACGATGGAGACAGTGTGAGGAGGGGCCAGTCAGCCGATGCAGCCCAGTGAACACCTGGGGACGGCCACAGAGGGAAGCTACCACCAGCCGGGGCCTGTGTGCCGGGAATTTCAATGAGTTCTGGGTCTCAGCCCCAGCCCCTGTGTCTGTCCCTTCACCCCCATGCCAGGGACTTACTTCTAATTAAGCACTGTTACGATCCCATTCTGCAGGGGAGGGGACTGAAGCCCAGAGAGGTCAGGGGACTTGCCCAGGGTCACAGAGCAGACCGGGGTCTGGGGTTTGAACCTGTGTTTAGCTGACCCTAAAGTCCTTGCTTTTATATATGCTTCAAAAGAAACCCCTTTCCATGTAAACCTCCAAACATACAAGGTAACAGAACGGCAGAGCAAGCCTGTACAGCCACCAGCACCGCCGTCCCCGCTTCCTCCACCGCCTCCCACCCCTGTTCCTCACTGTTTTGATTTTTATGCTTCTTTTCTGAAAGTAAGGTGTCTACACATTGAGATTCACAAATCTTACTGTCAGTGGAATGTACTGGACTTGGGCTAGTAAGTTAGACATGTGAGTTTATCTTTTCTTTCCGTGGTATCGTACCTGTCTTACTTCACTCACAGTGAACAGAGAGTGCCTCCATAACAAGGAAAACACGATGCAATTAGGATAAACCGTTAAAGACGCTCCAGCCGGGCGCGGGGGCTCACGCCTGTAATCCCAGCACTGTGGGAGGCTGAGGCGGGGGGATCATGAGGTCAGGAGTTTGAGACCAGCCTGATCAACATGGTGAAACCCCGTCTCCACTAAACATACAAAAATTAGCTGGGCATGGTGGTGCACGCCTGTAATCCCAGCTACTCGGGAGGCTGAGGCAGGAGAGTCCCTTCAACCTGGGAAGTGGAGGCTGCAGTGAGCCAAGATCATGCCACCGAACTCCAGCCTGGGCGACAGAGCAAGACTCCATCTCAAAAAAAAAAAGAAAAGACGCTCCTTTGAGCTGGATCCTTGCCCCACCCTCAGGACCCCGAGTTTCCTCTGTGTGTAGGCACAGCCCCACCTGAGCTTTCCCATGACCCATCCACCTGAACCTAGACCCCAGGAAGGCCCGTGGTAGCAGCCTCCCTGCAAGCAGGAAGGAGCCCAGTGGGCGGGACCCACACACGTGGCTTCGTGCAGGCCTGAGACCCTGGCAAGCTGCCCTCTCCCTGCTGCCTCCCAGGGAGCCCCAACCACTGCCATGTTCCACAAGAGCCCCCGTCTTCAAAGGGAGAACGCAGGCCTCTGTGGGATGCCCTCTTCTGTGAGTAGCCCCTGAGCCAGTGCAAGGCTGGGGAGGACAGCCTCAGGGAGGCATTGCCCAGCGACCAGCTCCTCCCAGGGCCTGCTGTGAGTGGCCCTGTTGCCTGGCAACCAGGTGGCAGCGTCCCTTGAGCCCAGGCCACATAGCTGTACCCAGCCCTGCCCGGCTCCTCCCAGGCCTGCAGGACCCCTCCCTGAGGCCTTGTCCTTACTCCCCACCACCAGGACAGCCGCAGCTCCGGTCACAATGAACGTCATCTTCTCTAGGTGAGGGGGCCGGCGCCGCCTGTGCCAGGGAGATGGAGGCAGGGTTTTGAGGCCCAGTGCACCAAGAAAGATGAGGGCAGCAGAGCCTGCTGATGGGGGAGGGTAAGGGGAGCTCTCCCTACCACACCGCCTGCACCTCCAGCTCAGGGAAGACAGGGCTTGGGACCACAGAAGCTTCCAGAATCTGGCCTCCATCTGCTTCTCAGCATTGCCACCTGTGGCTCTGGGGGTGCCAAATTCATCTCCTTTCCTCTCTCCCCTCCACCTGGAAAACCCTGTTTGCACCTCAACCCCAGCCACGCCTCCCCTTCATGGAGGCCCTGTCCACACGGCCCAGCCCAGCCCTCCCCCGCTCTCACCACCTGCCTGCCCTGCCTGGTCATATCCACACCTGGTTCCTCCAAGTTTCGAAATCCAGGGAACCTCTCAAGCACCCAATATGCTTTTCTTATTTTTTTTTTTTTGAGATCAAGTCTGACTCTATAGCCCAAGCTGGAGTGCAGTGGTGCAATCTGGATCTCAGCTCACTGCAACCTCCACCTCCCGGGCTCAAGCAATTCTCCTGCCTCAGGCTCCTGAGTAGCTGGGACTGCAGGCGCCCTACCACACTTGGCTGGTTGTATTTTAGTAGGACGCGGTTTTGCCATGTTGCCCAGAGTGGTCTTGAACTCCTGAGCTCAGGCAATCCGCACACCTCGGCCTCGGACAGTGCTGGGATTACAGGTGTGAGCCACTGTGCCCAGCCCTGATGTGTTTTTAAAACGCAGCTTCTCAGGCACACTCCTGGGAGCCCCAACGTCTGACTTCTGTCCCCTGTGCTGCTGAGTCAGAAGCTCTAAGGACCCCGCCTGCAGGAACAGAGGCTGTGTCTGGCTACGTGACCTGCAGCAAGATGCTTTACCTCTCTGGGCCTCAGTTCACTCCATGTTCACATGGTGATACCAGCAGCACCTCGCTTATAGGGCGATGCATGCAGAGTGTTTTGCAATGACGGTGGTGAGACAGTTAGGGTCTACTGGGACAGACGGAGGCTCCTCAGGGCATTTCTTGCATCAGGGATTTGATGAGAGGGTTGCAAGAGGGCTTTGGTCAAAGGGAGGGAGGCAGGGACACTGACATGCTGGGAATAAGGGAAAAGAGAGGGCAGGAGAGGGCCCAGGAGGGAGGCAGAGGCCGGGCCTCCATGGCTGTCTTAGAAGCCTGAAAGCGGCAGGTCAGTCATCGCTCACCTGCTCTGGGGAGGCGCCGGGCTGGGAGCATGTAAAGGTGAGTCAGGGCAGGGCACAGTGGCTAATGTCTGTCATCCCAGCACTTTGGGAAGCCAAGGTGGGCAGATCACCTGAGGTCAGGAGTTCGAGACCAGCCTGGCCAACATGGAGAAACCCTGTCTCCTAAAAGTACAACAATTAGGCAGGCATGATGGCGGTGCCTGTAATCCCAGCTACTCGGGAGGCTGAGGCAGGAGAATCACTTGAACCCAGGAGGCAGAGGTTGCAGTGAGCTGAGATCACACCACTGTACTCCTGCCTGGGCGACAGAGCAAGACTCTGTCTCAAAAACTATATATATACATATATAAGAATTTTGACAGCTTATGGGGAAAGACAGCACAGGGGACTTTCAGAGGGCAGAGGCCTTCGCAGCCAGGGACTGTGGAGAGAGTGAGGAAAAAGGCCAGGTTTGGAGCCAAGCATGCGTTTGTAACCCTGTGGCCCAGGCACGTCCCCCTCCTCAGCCTCGATGGCCCTGACGCCGTCACCTTGGGCAATAGCCTATGGCATGTGCATGCCACACCGGTGCTGACTGGTGGCAGCTCCTGTTTTCACAACCATTGTCTGCTCCTGGCATGACCGGGGCCCTGCCTCGCTACCCGGAACGGCCACTCAGGTCCCCACATCACAGGGACAGCCAGGTGAGGGTGATGGAGAACACCGTGACCAATGCTGAGAAGTACTTTGGGCAGTTCTGCTCGCTGCTGGCTGCCTACACGCGCAAGACCGCCCGGCTGCGGGACAAGGCGGACCAGCTGGTCAAGCGGCTCACCGACTTCGCCAACTCCGAGAACCCTGAGCTGCGCGCCACCATGAGGGACTTCGCCGAGGACCTGGCCAAGGTGCAGGATTACCGGCAGGCCCAGGTGAGCATGGTCGGCCCCGGGCCAGGATGCTGAGGGGCACCCGGGCCCCAATGCCAAGGTCAGGCCTCAGGGCAGCAGGAGCCCTGCTGTGGCCACAGCCGACGGGTGAGTCTCCAAAGACATCCACCAGGGGTGGACAGTTACACGGTCCCCAGGGTCACACCTCTGCCTGCAGGAGTGACAGCCTAGGAAGCCTTGCTGAGTCAGTTGAGGGGTCAGCCACGCAAGGAAACCCAGGAAGCCAGCCCTGGGGCTCCACCAGCCCCTGAAGGGGACACATCCAGGGCCTGTGAGGGCCTCCAGAGGGCAGAAAGGGGAGTCAGGGGCAAAGGGGCTGCAGGGTGTTTAGGAAATAATTAAAAATAGAAACTCCTGCCAGCCCAGAGAAATCCTCCATGAATTGTAGAAAAGAATGGAAAACGGTTGGGTGCGGTGGCTCAGACCTATAATCCCAGCACTCTGGGAGACCTAGGCAGGCAGATTGCGGGAGCCCAGGAGTTCAAGACCAGCCTGGGCAACATAGCAAGACCCCATGTCTATAAAAGTATAAAAAAGTTAGCCGGGTATGGTTGCTTGCACCTGCGGTCCCAGCTACTCAGGAGGCTGAGATAGGAGGATCATTTGAGTCTGGAGGTCAAGGCTGGAGCCATGATCGTGCCACTGCATTCCAGCCTGGGAGACGGTACAAGCCTCTGCCTCACACCGAAAACAAAGAACGGAACAGCTTTACAATTGAGTCCGCTTTAAACCAGGCAGCAACGCCTGTCACGGGCGATCCAAGACAGAGACGGTACTGTCCGCTCCAGGCAGGCAGACACAGCCCCCGGTGTCCGTGTTCTCAAGACAAATGACAGGTGTCCCCCAGGAAGAGGCCTTGGCAGCCCCATTTCTCACAGTACATCCTAATCTCACTTGGTAATGGGGGTGGCCATCTGTGCTAGCTAATTATCTTTGTTTGTTTTATTTAAAAAATTTTTTTAAAGAGACTGGGCTGGGTGAGGTGGCTCACGCCTGTAATCCCAGCACTTTGGGAGGCCGAGGCAGGTGGATCACAAGGTGAGGAGATCGAGACCATCCTGGCTAACACAGTGAAACCCCATCTCTCCTTAAAATACTAAAATTAGCTGGGTGTGGTGACACATACCTATAGTCTCAGCTACTTGGGAGACTGAGGCAGGAGAATCATTGAACCTGGGAGGTGGAGGTTGCAGCGAGCTGAGATCATGGCACTGCACTCTAGCCTGATGACAGAGCAAGACTCCGTCTCAAAAAAAAAAAAAAAAAAGAGAGAGAGAGAGAGATGGGGTTTCGCCATGTTGCCCAGGCGAGTCTTCAACTCCTGTGCTCAAGCCATCCTCCAGCCTCAGCTTCCCAAAATGCTGGAATTACAGGCGTGAGCCACCATGCCTGGCCTACCTTATTACCTTTAACCAAAGGAAAAACAAAACTTCTCATGGATCTGTGACAAACAGGTGGCAGAGCTTGGTGCCAGGTGCTTATGCTAAACACCCACGGAGACCAGAGGAAGACCAGGGCACCAGGAGGCAGGGCACCGTCTTCCTTGATGTTTACGTGTTCGAAGACCCTCATAAAGCCATTTTCGATTGTAAAACTGGCAAGAGGCTGCTTTAGTTTTTTGGGGTGTTTTTGTTTTCCTATTTTTCTTTGAGACAGAGTCTCACTCTGTCACCCAGGCTGGAATGATATGACACCATCTCTGCTCACTGCAGCCTCCACCTCCCAGGTTCAAGCAATTCTCCTGCCTCAGCCTCCTGAATAGCTGGGCCCACAGGCATGCATCACCATGCCCGGCTAATTTTTTGTATTTTTAATAGAGACGGGGTTTTACCATGTTGGCCAGGCTGGTCTTCAACTCCTGACCTTAGATGATCCGCCCACCTCAGCCTCCCAAAGTGCCTCACCCAGCCCTGCTGTGACTCTCAACAAAAATATTGTCCCCAGAACGAGGCTCAGTTTTCTCATCTGCAAAGTGGGGTTGTCATTGCCACCCTGTGTGGAAGTTGGGAGACAGGACCAGGCTGTCGTGTAGAGGGACTGAGCACACACTGGGGACCTGTCTTGCCTCCCCGGTGTTCTGAGCCAGGCACCATCTCCCTACTGTCCTGAAACCCTAGTGGGTACACCCATGGCCTCATTGGACAGGTGAGGAAACGAGGCTTTGAGAGACTGAATGTGTTGCCAGAGCCCTTGGGAGGCAGAGCCAGGCCCTGAGCCCAGGCCAATGTCTCCAACACACCGGGAAAGGGAGGGCATCTCACGCTCCCCGTCCCCCGCACGGCTCTGGACATGCGGCTCCTGGGTGTGGGCTGTGCTTTCTATGCCCAGGTGGGAGGCAGGCAGTACCCTACACTCTTTGCTCAGATCCCTTGGTGTCCCCACCCCCCCCCCAGGTCGAGAGGCTGGAGACCAAGGTGGTCAACCCCCTGAAGCTCTACGGGGTGCGGATCAAGCAGATGCGGGTGAGCGGGGGCCCCTCGGGTGGGCGGCATCCCAATCTTGCCCTGGGGTTTCCCAGGAAACAGCCCTCCTCCTTTTCTGCAGGCTGAGATCAAGAAATTCAGACACGTCCGAAATCATGAGATCAAACAACTGAAAAAGCTGGAGAAACTGAGGCAGAAGTCACCCTTGGATCAGCAAATGATCGTATCCTTCCCTGGAAGTGGGGCCTGAGGCTGCTGGGCAGGGTGTCCACTCCCACGGATGTCCTCTGGGGTTTTCTGGGTGGGGGGTGCGAGGCGGCAGACCACCCCAATGGGGCTGTTTGGGCTTAACTGGGTTCCTTAACAGCACTTTTTCAGTCCCAGGTGAGTGTGACATGTCTGTCTGGGGCATCCAGAATCAGGACCTCAGGTGGGCTTTCCCTGGGCAGAAGCAGGTGTAGGCAGGGCCCTGTGCTCAGGATGGGAAAGCCAAAGGTACCGGTTAAAGGGGCCGCTGGGGATCTGGAGGCCTGGGCTCTGTCCCATTCTTGATGCCATCCCAAAGCCACTCCCCCACGGGCTCAGTTTCACCGCCAGTTACTTGTTCCATGCTCACCTCAGGTGGGTAATGCTACCCTCATCCCTATTGTCTAGGGGAGGAAATCAGGCTCACAGGGACACAGTGAGGGAGCTCATGGGGCACAGCAGGGGGAGGGGACCCTGCATGCTCTCTGTCGCATTGTCCTGCCCCGTGGGAAAAACACAGGGGCCTGGAGGTAGGGTGAGAGCTGGAGGAGGGCTAGTCACCTCTGCTGTTTGTGTAACTGAGTGTGTGACCTCATCCAAAGAGCGCCCCCTCCCTGCTTTTTTTTGAGATGAAGTCCCACTCTGTCACCAGGCTGGAATGCAATGGCACAAACTCATCTCACTGCAACCTCCGCCTCCCAGGTTCAAGTGATTCTCCTGCTCCAGCCTCCCTAGTAGCTGGGATACAGGCACGTGCCACCATGCCCAACTAATTTTTATATTTTTAATAGAGATGAGGTTTCGGGTTTCACCATGTTGGCCAAGATGGTCTGGATCTCTTGACCTTGTGACCCGCCCTCCCCAGCCTCCCAAAGTGCTGGGATTACAGGCATGAGCCACTGCACCTGGCCATGCCCCCCCGCTTTTTTTTTTTTTGAAAGACAGAGTCTTGCTCTGTCGCCCAGGCTGTAGTGAAGTGGCACAGTCTCGGCTCACTGCAACCTCTGCCTCCCGGTTCAAAGGATTCTCCTACCTCAGCCTCCCTAGTAGCTGGGATGGCAAGTGCCCACCACCATGACTGGCTAATTTTTGTATTTTTATCAGAAACAGGGTTTCACCGTGTTGGCCAGGCTGGTCTCGAACTCCTGACAATCTGCCCACCTCAGTCTCCCACAGGGCTGGAATGACAGGCTTAAGCCACCGTGCCCAACCACAGAGAATGCCCCTCAATGGAGTGAAGTCAGCAGTCCTCACCTGGGCACATTTCACCATCTGGTGACGTTTCTGGGGAGCTCTGCTGGCACATGTTAGGTTCTTCCCGCTATGGGGACAAATGACCACAGACTCGCCGTTCAGGAGGTTGGAGGTCCATCGTGGGCCCTCTGGGCTAAGTCACAGTGTGGAAAGGGCTGGTTCCTTCTGGAAGTTCCAGGGAGAGTCTGTGCCCTCACGTTTTCCGGCTTCCAGAGGCCACACACATCCAGTGGCCGTGGCCATGGCTGGCAGCCTGCCCCTTCCCTCTGCAGCCACGTCTCTCCTCTGACTCTCCTGCCCGCCTCCCTCTTCCACTTGTAAGGACCCCTGTGATTGCACTGGGTGTAGCGGATAATCCACGATCATCTCCCACAGTAAGGATGGCTGATTACAACCTTCATTCACCTGCTACCCCAACTCCCCTTTGCCTTGAAAGGCGCCGTATGAACAGGTGCCAGGGATTAGGATGTAGACGGCTTCGGAGGGCCATTATCCCTCCTACCACCTGGCATCCAGTGGGGAGAGGCCGGAGATGCTTCCCTACCTCCCACAGAGCCCCGGACACTCGTGCCGAACGCGGGGAGTGCTGACCTACACCAGTGTGGGTCATAGCCCCACCTGAGCGTCCGGCTTCCATCCTGGTTCCTGCCCGGGTCACCCACCGTCTTTGCAGCCATTTGAAAACAGCTTTCCCTTCTTTCCTGGGGCTTCCTAGATGCCAGCCCCCAGCTCTCTTTCCTTCTTGGACATTACACAAACATAAAGGTGGCATTTAAGTCCCCATTTTAAAGAGGAAGCTGAAGGTGAGAAAGGTGACTTGTCCAAGGTCACACAGGCAGTTAAGTGGCAAATTCTGAATACAGCTCCAAGGTGCTCTATTCCAAAAGCCAGATTGTTCGCGTCTGGGCTTGGCATGGGGTAGGCATCTGTGGATGTTGATGGAAGGAACGAAAGAGTGAATCAGCTAAACACGTTGCCCATGCCAGAATGAATGATCAGTGAACGCGGAGCACCTGTCCTAAGGGCTCAGCGGGTGCCACCGTTTAACTTATCCAACAGCCTTCCAAGCAAGTCTTATCACTGTGCTCTGTTTACAAGAAAGGAAACTGAGGCTCCGAAAGGTTAAGTGACTTGCCTGAGGTCACACAGCCAGCAGGCAGGTGCGTCTTTCTCCGGTGACTGCTCCTTCAGCCGTGGTCCTACTCAGCCATTTCTCTGATGACCAAATGGGCAAGAGACGTCCCATGAGGCAGGAGAGCAGGACTGAGAGAGGGTTTAGAGACAGAGTGATTCAGAAAGGTGGCTACGAGCCAGAAGTGCCCCCATGACACTTTCTACCTCTGTGTCCCTGGGGCCAGGCGGAGACCAGCGTGCAAAGGGCTGCCGTGGACTCCAGCCGCACCGCCCTCCAGCTGGAGGAGACGGTGGACGCCTTCCAGAGGCAGAAGCTGAAGGACCTGCAGGTGAGGGCCGCCGGCCGGTGTGGGAGGCACGCTGGGCTGCCTTGTGTGAGTGTGCACGCATGTGTGTACATGTGTCTGTGTGTATGCATTGGTGTGTATGTGTGGGTCCATGTGCATGTGTGAGCATTGGAAGGGGTGTGTGAGCTGGTGCCCACACAGGCTCCTGGCACAGTTAATCCTGGCCACAGGGCATCAGACGCCATTGCTCAGGGCAGCTGTCCCAGCACAGGAAGCCATGGGGTGGCCCTAGGTCCAGCTCCTAAGCAGGAAGAGTTTGCCTCCCCTCAACACACACTCCCTGCTTCCTCTCCACACAGCTTTGCCCTAACCTTTTTTTCTCCTCGAAGCTCCCAACACCATTCCCTGAACAAGCCACGCTGAGGCCCAGCAGGTGGGTGTGGATGCATTCCTCCTTCCAAGACCCCACCCCAGCGCCACAGAGTCCTGGGCCCAGAGCCCCAGCCCTTACAAGAGGAGCTTAGAGAGTTGGGTCTTTCAGGACTAACTGATCGCAGAGACTCCTTCCCCAGCTCTTGAGCCCTCCCTAGTCCATTTTCCAAAGGTGCACACAGACTGTCTATTTTTTTTTGAGACAGAGTCTCACTTGGTTGCTCAGGCTGGAGTGCAATGGTGCGATCTCCGCTCACTGTAACCTCTGCCTCCCAGGTTCAAGCGATTCTCCTGCCTCAGCCTCCTGAGTAGCTAAGTTTACGGGCACGCGCCACCACACCCGGCTAATTTGTGTATTTCTAGTAGAAACAGGGGTCTCGCCATGTTGGCCAGCTGGTCTCAAACTCCTGACCTCAAACGATCCACCCACCTTGGTCTCCCAAAGTGCTGGGATTACAGACATGAGCCACCGCACCTGCCCCAGGGAACTCTTAAAAGGCAGGTCCAATTTATCATCACTGGGCTGAGCACCCTCTGGTGGCTCCCCTTGTTCTCAGGATTGGAGCCAAAATCCCTTCAAGGCTCCCAAAGCCCCAGCCCAGCCCTGTGGCCTCAGCCTGCCCACCACACTGAAGCTCCAATGCGCAGAGCCGGTTCCTGCCCAAGGCCTTTGCAGGGCTGCGCCTGGCTCTGCATCAGGTCAGTGCCTTCTTCTCTCTTGGCTTCAACCTCATTCTTTAGGGAAAGTCACAAGACCCCAGACTGGCCTGGTGAAGGGCTCTCGAAGGGCGTGTGAACTGGGAGTTCCCTTGTCCCCTTGTTTATGCACTCTGCTCTGCACCCACCAGGCTGCCATCCCAGGTGGAATAGTTAATTGTGTATTCACTTCACGCATTACTTTAACAAATGTGGAATGCGCACCTACTGTGTGCCAGGTACTGTGCCTGATGCTGGGACACCGTGCCCACCAGAGCAAGGTCCCTGAGCTCATGGACTGGACCTGTTGGGGCGGGAGGAGATGGACGGATCACGTGGTCCGTGATGTGCTGTGCACCATTTATCACGTTCATCACATCATGGGGAGGAAAAGCCTGTGAGGTGACTGTGTAACACATTGCATGTCAGTGCCAAAGGACAGGCCCCTGCTGGGCCCCAGTCACCAGGCTCCAGGCCCTGGAACCTAGTGGGTATTCAGTCAATACTTGTGGAATGACTGAATGAGTACATACATGAATGAATGAGTGAATGCATGCATGAATGAATGCACAGGCAATGAGGCATCGGTAATCAGTGCTCAGGCCACCTGCACAGGAAGGGGGACCTCAAACAGCCGGCAGACGTTGTTCAGCACGTGATGTGATGGGCTGGGTGGGTGGCATGAGGGGGCGTGGACCACACTGTTCTCGGCCTCCAGGTCAGGGGCCAACAGAAGCTGGAAGTTTAAAAGTGGGCAAGCTTTCAAGCTCTGGGATTAAATTCGTGAGAGATGTGAATCCAAACCATCTCTCAAAAGCCCTTCAAAAGAGATACAAACAAAAACATGAGCTAATGATTACCACCTGTCAGTGCATTCAGCCTGCGCCCAAAGAACGCTTGAAGCTGGGTGATTTATAAACCACAGAAGTAAAATTCTCTCCCTGTTGGAGGCTGGGGAGTCCGAGATCGGGGATCTAGCAGACTCAGCATGGCGGGGGCGGGGGGTCCTGTTCCTCATGGCGTCCTCATGTGGCAGAAGGGGTGGAAAAGCTCCCTGAAGTCTTTACACTCATCTCATTCACGAAAATGAAGCCTTCCTGCCAATCACTTGAGGTCAATAGTTTGAGACCAGCCTGGCCAACATGGTGAAAGCCTGTCTCTACAAAAAAATACAAAAATTAGCCGGACACACTGGCTCATGCACTTCGGGAGGCAGAGGTGGGCAGATCACTTGAGGTCAGGACTTCAAGACCAGCCTGGCCAACATGGTGAAACCCCATCTCTACTACAAATACAAAAATTAGCTGGGCGTGGTGGTGCACACCTGTGAAAGAAGGGAACAGAAAGAAGGGTGAAGAGCAAGTGTCCTCAGACTATTTTGGCACAGTCTGTCAGTATGTATTTACTTACCCAGTTATTCAGTTAGTAGAGATAGGGTTTTGCCATGTTGTCCTGGCTGGTCTTGAACTCCTGGGCTCAAGCCATCCTCTTGCCTTGGCCTCCCAGCGTACTGAGATGACAGGCATGAGCCACTGCTCCTGGCCAATAGTTTTGATTTTGGAACCATGGGAATGTGTTTTCCATCAACGTGTCAACAAAAAAAATTACATGTCGAAATTCCCCACCTAGGGCCTGTCCGCACCTGGACAGCTCCGCACCCCCACCCATCTGCCTGTGTCCCAGGGTACCTTGGGCTCTCCTTCTCACTGCGCTGCTTACATTCGTTGGGCTTCTCTCCCCACAGACTTTTTTTTCCGATTTTGTAACTATTGAGATGGTTTTCCACGCCAAAGCGGTGGAGGTGTATTCCAGTGCCTTCCAGACCCTAGAGAAGTATGACCTGGAGCAGGACCTGCAGGTGGGTCACAGACACCCCATTTCCTACTTGGCAGAGTGGGGCAAGATTTCATTTTGCCTCTGTCTTGATAGAAGCAGTTTTTGTTAGTAACATTTTATGACTTTTCTAAGACGCATTCTGATGAAGCGTTCTCAGTATCTGCCTCAGGTGCCCAACGGAGGATAATTTTTCCTAACGCTGTTTGGAATATCAACATATTCATCATACAATGTTTAAAAATGAATGGATTGGCTGGGCATGGTGGCTCACACCTGTAATCTCAGCAGTTTGGGAAGTCAAGGCAGGCAGATCACGAGGTCAAGAGTTTGAGGCCAGCCTGGTCAACATGGTGAAATACAAAATTTAGCTGGGCGTGGTGGTGTGCACCTGTAATCCCAGCTACTCGGGAGGCTGAGGCAGGAGAATCGCTTGACTGCATGAGGCAGAGGTTGCAGTGAGCCGAGATTGTGCCACTGTACTCCAGCCTGGGTGACAGAGGGAGACTCTGTCTCAAAACAAAACAGAAAAAACGAAAGGATTGACAACAATGAAAACCATTTCCTGGGTGGCGCTTGGTGTAGTTTTGAAGTAGGAAGAAGTGCTTTTTATCCCGATCTGATCTGATTAAAATCCAGAATGAGCTGTTTGCACGGTCGGTAACGCCCTTCTGCAGCCCAGTGTTGTAAATTCACAGTCACTGATCATGACTCTCTCCTGTGGGTCTGCGGTTGTTGGGGCTCACCTGGGCAGGTCTCGGGTCGGCCTTCCTGTGGTTGCCGTTGGTCAGAGGCTGGGGCTGTCATCTGAGCACGGGACAGGCCATGTGATTTGCAGGGCCCAGTGCAAAATAAAAACGTGGGGCCCTTCCTTCCAAAATCACTAAGATCTTCAGGACAGCAGTGTCAGAGCCCTAAGCCACGCACAGGGGCCTTCCGGGCGTGGAGCCCTGGGCAACTGCATGATCTGCACCCCACAAAGCCTGCCCTCCCTGGGTCTTCCTCCGGGTCTGCAGCCAGAGCACCTGCCCACGGCCTTTTCATGGGGCCTGGGCTTCCTCACAGCAGCTGGTTCCAAGAGGGAGTGTCTGGGGACACAGGTGGAAACTCGATCACCTTTTATGACCCAACCTCAGCAGTAACACGGTGTGGCTTTGTGTGCCGTTTGTTAGAAGTGAATCTCTGAGGCTGCCTGTATTCAAGGGCAGAGGAATTGGATTCCAGCTCCTGATGGGGGAAGCATGAGATCATCTGAGTTACCAATCAGCCTTAAAACCACCACACGAGGTTCGGTGCAGGTCACAGGGGCTCTCTTGCATTCACTCACTTTACAATATTATTTTCTCTTTTTTTTGTTTTGTTTTTTGATTCGGAGTCTTGCTCCGTCACTAGACTGAAGTACAGTGGCACGATCTCAGCTCACTGTAACCTCCGCCTCCCAGGTCCAAGTGACTCCCCTGCCTCAGCCTCCCAAGTAGCTGGGACTACAGGTGTGTGCCACCACGCCCAGCTACTTTTTTGTATTTTAGTAGAGAGGGGGTTTCACCATGTTGGGCAGGATGGTCTCAATCTCCTGACCTCGTGATCTGCCCACCTCGGCCTCCCAAAGTGCTGGGCTTACAGGCGTGAGCCACCGCGCCCGGCCTACAGTATTCTTTTTAGAGGCAAGGGCGATCTCGAATCCAGGTGTTCTCCTGTGTGACTATGGATATGTGACCTGGCCCTTGGGCTTCTCCCATTTATAAAATGGGGTGATAACCCACTGACAGGGCCGCTGTAGATTACATGGAATAAGAAACAGGAAGCTCCTGGAGAGGACCGTGGTGTTGCAAGGGCGTCGGCTGTGGCAGGCCTTCCCATCCGGCCATCTTTCCATCCCACTACCCCACCCCAAGTCATGTTTTCCCATTGGATCCAACCCAGCCTGGTCTCTCCTGGCAGGATTTTAGAGCCAAGGTGCCAGGAGTTTCTGGGCGTCATGACACGTGGCCGCTTGCCAGCACCAACACCTCTCCATCTGCCCCTCATTCTCTCGCCAGCCAAGTGAGTGTATGGGAGGCTGAGGCTACACTTGAAATGAAGTGCACAGCCTGGGAGACCCCGTGGTAGGAGTCCCAGGGATTAGAGGAGAGGCAGCTGAGAACTGAAGTTTGAAATGAGAGGCTGAGGAGGCGGGGGTGGTGGCAGTGTGGGGTGGTGGGAGGGTGGAGGGCTGCCCCAGGGTCTGACCAGGACTTTGCCTTGAAATGGCTGGGTGTGGTGGCTCATGCCTGGAATCCCAGCTCTTTAGGATGGATCACTTGAGGTCAGGAGTTCAAGACCAACCTGGCCAACATGGTGAAACCCTGTCTTGACTAAAAATAATGCAAAAATTAGCTGGGCGTGGTGGCGTGTGCCTGTAATTCCAGCTACTTGGGAGGCTGAGGCAGGAGAATCGCTTGATCCTGGGAGGCGGAGGTTGCAGTGAGCCAAGATTGCACCATGGCACTCCGGCCTGGGCAACAGAGTGACTTGGTCTTAAAAAAAAAAAAAACAACGTAGAACCAGTGAAGCCACGTCACCCAGCATGGTGGGCCACAGTCCCCGCCGTGGCAGCCACGAGTCCTGAGCGCTCCCTGGAGGCACTCTGAGGTACTGCCACTTGAGAAACAGGCCCCCAGACAGGTCTACCTACACCTGCGTCCCAGCCTGTGGGCCCGTGGGTTCCAGGAACCAGGATTCCTCAGAGGTTAGGGAAGTGATCAGGTGCTTACGTTGCACGTTTCCTTACAGCCCAGGAAGGCCCGCCACCAGGTGCATTTCTATTTCTGCGGGACCTTTGCAGGTCCAGCTGAAAAGGGCAAATAAAGGCCCTGAATAGCCGGATGCCAATCGTGGCAGGTTTGGTCTCCGTGAGGAGGGGTGAGGGGCAGCCAACCCACTGTGTGTGGCAGGGTGGGTGTCTCATGCGCCCAGGACAATTCTCTCAAAAGACGGTAGGGGAGGTGCAATCCCCAGCTGTTTAATCCCAGACTGCCCGGAGGCTTTTTTCATATTTTCCTGTTCTTTTCTCTTTGTCTTTGTTGCATTGGGTTAATTCGAGGACCTTGTCTTCGAGCTCTGAATGTCCTTCTTCTACTTGTTCAATTCGATTGCTGAGACTTCCCGGAGCATCACGCACTTCTGTGAGTGTGTCGGATGTTTCCTGAAGTTTTGATTGTTTTTCTTTATGCTATCTGCTTCTTGGTCCGAGCCCACTCCTCCTGGCGGTGTGAGCCTGGGAAAGTCACCTAGCCTGTCTGTGCCTTAGAGTCCTCGCCTGCAGAGTGGCTCAGAACAGTAACCTCTGTGCGCGGCTGTGCCGAGCGTCCACGAACAGATCTACGCCACGCGCAGAAAACCCGGCCTGTCGCACAACGGACCCTCCAGACTTGTTGCTGCCGTTATTATTATTGATGCCACTGTCGTTTTATTATCATTATTATTTAGAGTGCTCAGAGCACCATAGGGGACCCGAGAAAAGAGGAGGAGGAGAGTGAAGACGACTCCATGGAGGAGGCCCCTGTGGAGGACCTCAGGGCACTGGGGCAGGAACCCCATAAATAGGAAGAGAACTGCCCACAACAGTCGGAAGAACTGAGCCGGCCTCGGATCCTCAGGTGGGCTCTGCTGTGTGTCCTCAGACAAGCCACCTGTCCTCCGAGCCTCAGTTTTCTCATCTGTACCGCGGGACCAGTATCGCTCACCTCAGAGCTTGCTCCGGGGAACTGCTGCGCCTGGCACATAGCAGGTGTTGAATAAATGCTCCTGACTCTCAGCCTGACCCCAGTCTCTCATCCTGCCTTTTGTCTGGGGGCTCAGGTGTGCTGGCGCCTGTGTCCATGTCGCCAACAGTGGATTCCTTTCCTGGGCTGCCTTGACAAAGCACCTGCCTGGGTGGCTCAAACCACAGAAAACGCCTCTCCTGTGTTCTGGAAGCCAGAAAGCTGAGAGCGAGGTGTCAGCAGCGCTGGTTCCTTCTGGGGGCTTGGAGGGAGCACCTGTCCCAGGCCCCTCTCCAGCTTCCGGCGGCTCCTGTCCTTGGCGCGCCTGGGTGTACAGCCACATCCACCGGCTTCCGCCTTCGTCTTCACATGCGTTCTCCCGGTGTGCCCTTGAGTCTGTGTCAAACCTCCCCATCCTGTAAGGACACCCATCATCAGAGGCCCACCTTCCTCCATGATGGCGTCATCCTGACTAATTATATGAGCCATGACCCCGTTTCCAAATAAGGTCACATTCTGAGGTATGGGGGCAGGTAGGACTTCAACATAGAGCTTTGGGGGCAAAATTCAGCTCATAACACGGGAGGTGATATGCAGGGATATTCTTGGGACCAAGATTGTCACAGAAGTCCACAGAGGCTAAAGTGGGGTGGAGGCATAGGAAGGCCGGGGCATGTGGACTTGGGGGGGCTGTCTGTTGGGGCCCCTGGTGCGCAGCCGAGGAGTGACTCCTCCGACCATCTCTGAGGGCAGCCGGGGTGAGCCCACTCCTCCTGGTGACACTGAGGCTTGGTGGAGACATTTGTGTTGAGCGTGGCTATCTGCTTCTCAAGGCCACAGACCGCCCAAATGTCCCAGGTTAGAAAGTGCACCTGGAGCCTGCAGATACAGGCTGGCTCCATAGATTCCAGCACCCCCCACAGACCACCCCCCCGGCCAGGGGTCCCAGCAGCTCAAAGCCGGAAAGCACCTTGTCTCTGTAGAGACGATGGAAGCCAAATTTTCAGATGAGGAGATGAAACAGCACAGAAGCTTCTTTCTACCAACTAGGTAGGATCACAAACCTTCCACCCCCCGGGGGCCTGTTCCAGCTGCAGAATCCCCTCAAGGGCCCGGGGTAGGGCATCCATGCTGTCCAGGGCTCATCCCTGGCTAGCCTCCTGCCTTCTGAAGACCTCAGCTGGGAATGTCCACTGGTGGCCTCTCTCACTGGCCTGGTGGATACCTGCTGAGCTCTAGAGCCACACAGCCCTGGTATCACATGCCCACGTGGAGTGCCCTGGTTATTCTCATCAGCAAAGTCGGGGACACACATTTTCCTCACAAGATCAAGGTAGGGTTGGCGTCTTCATCACCATGATTTTTTTTGAGACAGTCTTGCTCTGTCACCCACACTGGAATGAAGTGGTGCAATCTGGGCTCACTGTAACCTCTGCCACCCAGGTTCGAGCGACTCTCATCACGGTCCACACATGAAGGAGCTGAGGTGGAAAGAACGATCCAACAAAGGCATAGAGTCAGCTGGCGGGAGGTGGAGCCGGATCCGGGCCCTTCCTGGTCCTGCCTCGAGTTGCCCAAGCTCTTTGGGGTCTTTGCTGCCTTTCAGAGGAGTTTCTCCCCTCCCCAGAGTTTACCTCCGAGTCTAGCCCCTCACCTCCTGCGGGAGGAATCCTCCAGCACCAGAGATAAGCCCAGATGCGACACCCCAGGGCTGTGCACCCACCAGCCATGCCCGCCCTCTCTGTGTGGCTAAGAGGGGGCAGAGAGAGATCTGGGGACATGGAGGCCGCCCCATTATTCCTCTGCCTGGGTGGCAGGGAGTGTCCTCGGTCCACGCAGGCAGCTAGGGGAGGGGGACCCTGCATTCCACCCGAGGTCTGGGGTGTGCCCATGTCCTGCTCCTTCCCTGGGCATGAAGGGGACCCTGCACCTCACACCTGGGGTCTGGGGGGTGCCCCTGTGTCCTACTCCTTCCGAGGGCTCATTGCCCATCTGTTTAGGCCAGAGTATCAGAACATGGGTGTGGACTTCTTACAATCACAGAAAAGGAACCCCCTCCCAGTCCCAATTTTTGAAATACTTTTGTGGAACAGAGTTGGAAAGAACCAATGCAGGTGCCCTGCTTGTCAGGTAGGAGGCAGCGGTCAGGACCCGCTGGCCCCCACATGCCCCATTGTAAGAGGTAAGGTGGCTTTGGCTCCGAGGAGCAGGGTCAGGAGTCCAGGTGAAGGGGTTCAAGGCGCTTGTGTAGTCTGGGCTGAGAACTGGTCCAGAGTGGGGGGTCCTCATTCACAAATACAGACCCCCAGTGGCCAGGGAGACTGACATGGCCAACGTGGTTGCTCAATCTACAGAGGAAGGCTCCTTTTTCTAGTGTCTCCCACACACTTGCCCATCTGACAAGACCTGGCTGCTCAGCCTACATAGGAAAAATGTCTCTTTGGTCTTAGAAAAAAAAAAAAAATGGTTTTCACTGGGCACAGCGGTTCATGTTTGAGGTCGGGTGTTTGAGACCAGCCTGGCTAACGTGATGAAACCCTGTCTCTACTAAAAATACAGAATTAGCCAGGCATGGTGGCGCATGCCTGTAATCCCAGCTACTCAGAAGGCTGAGGCAGGAGAATTGCTTGAACCCGGGAGGTGGAGGTTGCGGTGAGCCAAGATCGCACCATTGCACTCCAGCCTGGGTAACGAGCGAAACTCCGTCTCAAAAACAAAAGAGAAAGAAAAAATGGTTTTCTTCTGAAAGGCTGCGATGTTACTGAGATTACAGATCCTGTAGAACGTCCCCACGGATGTTATTAAAGAGTTACTATGTTTTTAAAAGAGTTTATTTCAGTTTCCACCTTCTGATCACTTAAGGTGTGACATATATACATATTTTTTTCTTCACAGCAAACACCCTTGATTTTAGCGCTGTTTTGAGATCTTCACCCTTGAAACTTTCTCAACCTCAAAACGGTTTGTAGAACATCACTGAGTGGGGCACAAAACTGCAGAAATGGAAGAGATAAGATACTGGTGTCACTGCACTCCACTTGGGGGCTACCAACAAGGCAATGTCTGGATGTGACCACGGCGAGTCTAGGAAAGAGAAAGCAGAGGGTGCGCACGTGGGAGATGCCACCGATAGTCCCGACAGGGGCTGCCAGGTCCACGGTGCAGGTCAATCTTGTTGTGATGCATTTACACGTTTTAAGGGATCCATGTGTGTTGTTGAGTTTCTAGCATTTCCTAGTGTTGACATGCTTGCCTTATCTTTCTCCGAGTGTCCACCCAGAAGAGCCTAAGCGACAGCCCCAGGTTCGCCGGAGACCGCATGAGCTCCTCCCTGCAGCTGAACCCATGTGGAGCTGAACTCTGTCTCTCACTGGGAGATCTGGAATCCACGCCTTAGGGCTGCACCTCCCTGTGGGCATGCCTCCTCCCCCACCTCTATTTCATGGAGAAACCATCTGGGATCAAGCACGGACTGGGTGAAGCCCCCCAGTTCTAGTCAATGCACAGTTCTAGTCAATTACCGACGGGCATCCTCCTTTCAGTTAAAGTGCAAAGTCCCTTAGAGCGCAGCTCAAGGGAGCTCCAGGCTACAGCGGGCTCAGGCTCTGACTGTTTTGTCAGGTCCCAGAGTCCACAGATAAAGTGGGGAGCTAGGTTCTTCCCAAATTGCACATTGTCCTGTGGGAGGGGTGTAGAAGGGAACTCTGGATGAACAAAACCAGCCCATTCCTTGCTCCCAGTGGACATGGTGAGTTTTTCCCTTTCCAACAGTAACTAAGAAACCCTGTGCCCACCCTCAGTCCCCGTGGAGCACTGTCCCATTGAAATCCTTTGGTCACATGCGTCCCCAGGTGCAGCTGAGGCAAGGCTGAGCTCCCACTGGCTCTCACTCATTGCACTCTGTAGGCTAAACCCAATCCCTTGCCAGCACCAGGAGGCGGGGCTCCCCCGGCAGCACCCATTCTTGTGAACCTGTTGGTCACATGATTGATTCTGTCCCCTTCCTGGAGAGTATGTGACACCCAAGCCCATGGACGCATGGGGGACTGAGGTGCAGAAGGCAGGCTCCCTGAGAGCCTGTGTGGAAGGTGGCTTTGCGGCCAGTATTGGCCACAGGAGAACATTCTGGACGTGGGTCTTCCATTGGGTGTTTCAGGCACCAACACATTCCTGCTCCTGGCCTGCGGGGGGTCCTGGGGTGTGTGGCCCGTGTGGCTCCAGGAGGCCCTGCTCTGTCTTTAGCCTTAGCCCGTGCAAGCCAAGCAGGGTGTAGCTGGCATCCGACCCCCCTTTCCTGCGGGACACAGCTGGGAACTTTTGAAGCGAAACATCTCCAAGAATCATCGACGTGAATACACGATTTATAGGACAAGGGAGTGAAACGGCCTTGTCCTAAGAAAAATGGTTCAGCAGAAGTGAATGGCTCACCGGGACTGGAAACGGGACAGGGAAAAGAGTGAGAACGATCCTTGAGAGAGAACCTGGCAGCTCTGCCTCGTGGCTGCGGAAACTGGGGAGACCAGCCTCAGAACACCTGCCCACCAGGTCCAGAGGGGCTCTCCCTCTCCTCTCTCTGAGGCTGGGGCTGGGCCACTGCCACCCCGTGAGCATCCTTTCCTCTGTGACAAGGGACTCTCTAATTTGTTAAAGTCCCCTTTCTCAAGCTCCACCCTGTTCTTGGAAACATACTGGGCTTCCTGGTTGTGCTGTGATCTGGTTTTAGGTGATTCAGTAACAAAGCTGATCTAATCACACAGGCCCACCTGCCTCCTTTCTAATTAAAAAGCCAACAGAGGCCGGCACAGGGGCCTCTGTAATCCCAGCACTTCAGGAGGCTGAGGCGGGCGGATCACCTGAGGTCAGGAGTTCGAGACCAGCCTGATCAACATGGAGAAACCCCGTCTCTACTAAAAATACGAAATTACCCAGGTGTGGTGGCGCATGTCTGTATTCCCAGCTACTCGGGAGGCTGTGGCAGAACTGCTTGAACCCGGGAGGCAGAGGAGTCAAGATTGTATCACTGGAGTGAAACTCCATCTCAAAAAAAAAAAAAAAAATAGCCAACACATAGTGGGAGCCAGGAAGGTCAGGCCTGCAGCTTACAGCCCCGGTTCCAGCTAAGGAACCCCAGTTAGACTGAAACCTCTCACAGACTCTTCATGGTGTGAAGCTGCATTCCTCAGGTCAGGGGTCTGGAATAGCAGTGCTCCCGAGTGATACGGTAACCCATGCAGAACAGCCCAGGAAAAGATGAATCTCACAGCTCTAGCCTTCTTTCCTCATAACTGAACCCCACGGCGTTACTGGGCTTGGAGGAGGGAATGAGAGGCCCGTTTGATTTTAACTCACAGGAGGAGAGGAGGAGGAGGATCAGCGGTGTCTGTGATTCCCACACTAGGCCTCAGTGCTGGTTCTAAACCTCACATGTGTTCCTTGCATTAACCTGAACATTAGGATTTTGATTTGGGTACAGGCTCAGAAACCAGACCCTCCCTCTAGCCCGTTTTTGGAAATGTCAGAGCTCTCTGGCCCACTTTTCTTTCGGCAATAGGAAAAGCATAGCATCGACCCCAGTTCAGTTACAGATACCTGATGACATCAGAATTCAGTCCTCTGGCCTCTGGTTGAACGCGCGTGTGCACAGTACATGCAGGCAGCAGGTGCAATCTATGCACGGGGTCCCTCTTAAACACCTGTTAGTGTTGCTAACATTGTAACCAAGGCTAAAAACATACAGTGCCTCATCTCAACACGTCCTGTTTTCAAAGCAGGGAGCTTTGCATTTGAGCAAGTGGTGTGCATTTTGGTTCACTAGGATTCACACAGCCCTCGAGGTTGGGGGGCAGAGTGCCTGCAATGCCCCTGTAGGCGACAGCCCTTCGTGCTCCTGGCTTTGGGCACTCTGCCCGCTGGGACTGGGAACCTCTCCCAAGGAATCACCTGACACTTCCTGAGTTTACAGAGGGCCATCAGAGCTCCTACACCAGGTGGCCCTGGGTGTGCCACCTTCCCATGCAGGGACCTTTGAGCCACGTGGCTGGATCTGCCTGTTCCACACCAGAGCCCAGCTCATGCCTGCTCTGCTCAGGCCCTGGGGGAAGAGAGGAAACCTGATGGCAGGCAGTCAGCCCTGTCCCAGGCACACTGGGCCTCCTCCAGGAGACCCCGGCCAGAGCCACAGTCAGCAGGAGACCAGAGGCTGCCTCCCGAGTCCGATTGCTCTGCTCACAGCATGGGAGGCTGTCTCTTGGGTGGCGTCCTGTGTTGCGGGGAGTACAGAGGGGACCCTTCCCTGTCAGCCTTCCTTCAACTCTGAGCAGCTAGATCTGTAAGAACAGGTAGTAAGGGGGAAAGACAAAACAGAACCCTTTCCTCTCCCCGAAATGGCTATTTCAAGAGGTCTATGTAGACAAAAAAGTGTGGAGATCATTTTCAAAGTTAAAGTGCTTGGGAAAAAGCCCGAAGAAGTCAGCGCCGCTTTCCTTGCAGAGGCTGTGCACGCGCTCCAGCACCCCCAGGAGAGCCTCGAAATCAGTCTACCCAGAAACCAAACAAATCAAAACTTCCATATAAAAATCCTATCCTCACAGTGCAAGTCTTAGCCCATTTCAGCTAACGTGAATCATAAAGACCAAGAACGCCAACGATGAGACGGCTGAAGGGAGCGCCCGACGGTCAGCCCTGAGTGTGGCTTGAGTTTCACCAGGGCAGGGAGGAGGGCGCATGCCCTGGAACCATGGCTGGACGCGGTGGGAGCCGTGTAGTATCTGCAGTTGGCATCAGAGCAATGGGCATCCACACAGCCCTCTCTCTGGTGTTTCTCTGAATGGATTTGCTGGCGAGGTGGCCGTCAGGGCCCAACCATGGGAGGGGGCAGCCCAGCCGGCACAAGCCCCCGCCCCTGCCCAGCACATGGCTACGCTCCGGCCAGCAGCATCACTAGGCTGAAATCGCTCACATGCCATGCAGTCAAGGGCCTGAGCCCCAGCTCCCCGGTTCTGGAGACTGGCAGCATGGGGCCCAAATGCATCAGATGACACCACGTTTCCAGTAATGCCCCAGACACACGTCTGTGATGCAACCAATCTGTGCTCGTCTCTGGAACATTATGGGGAGCATTCCCCAGAGGAAAACCTTCCAAGCAGTGGCCAGGTGACTCTCAGACGCTTCTGTGGTGCTGACAGACAAGACGGGACTTATGTGACCCAATGTCAGAGGAGGTAGCCAGGAAGGACAGGAGGGGAGGATGGCAGGTGGAGGGAGAGCCCCAAGGGCCTATTTCACAGTCAGTGACCACAGCGGTGACGGGCAAAAGGCAGGGAACCCCAGGCAGGCTGGCAGCATCCACGCATGGGGAACAGGAGGCTCTGGAGCCAGCCTGCAGTTGCTGGGAGTCAGGCCCCGGGCCCGCAGGCTGGCCTGCAGTGTGTGGTACAGACCCACAGAAGAGAAGGGGCGTGGCTCCCAGGCAGCAGGTGTAGGGTGTATCTGCAGAGGCTGGAGGAAGGAGCTACAAAGCTCTGGTGGGAAGAAAAAGCGCCTTCAGGAGCCCCTGGGGGCAGGGACACAATGCTCAGCACTTGGAGGCAGAGTTCGTGCCACTGGCTTGCCCTGCGTGTCGTCGCCCAGAACGAGTCTCTCCAGCAGCTGTGACTCCCGACTCAGACTTTCCTGCCTTGTCTGGAATAAAGAGCAGCACTGTTTGCCTTTAGAAAGGGGCGTTGTCTAGCAGCTATTAAAGAAGCTTCTTTCCTGCACTTCTTGTGTGGGACACATGGCACAACGCTGGTCATGACTGTGTGGGACACACGGCACAATGCTGCTTCATGACCGGAGAGCCTTCTCTGCTTCAGAAGGGAGCTGTCGGCCAGGCGGGCGCATTTCACATGGTTTGCGTGGTCTACTGCAGACACCTCGGCACTGCTGTGACTGACAGACACACAGATCCCAGGCCGTCTGCAGGGCACACACACATCCCTCTGGTGGTGCCAGGTCTTGCTCTAGCCAGTCAAGAGCGTCCTCTACACCGCACCTGCCCTCTCCCTGAAACAGGCATTTCCTCCTCAAGGTTGGAGAGGGCCGGATGGGAGCCCTGTTGCAGGAACATGGCCCAGGGCCACCCACTGTGAGCAGCAGTGCCAGTCCTCTGCCACTGGAGGGCTGCAGCCCCCCCCGCCCCGGCTAACCTGCCTGTGTCCCTTGCCCACCCCTACCCTCACCAGTCCTTGGCCCTCAATGGCCCATGGCGTCCTTCCCCTCCTCCCTCTTGGTCTCTTCTCACAAGCCTGGCACTCGGAGTACAGCTGGTCACCTCAGCTTTAGCCGTGTGACCCAAGGGACACTTGGCACATGGATGGGGGGCACAGATACAGGCAGAGGAGAGGAGGGAGGAGCAGTGGATTCTTCTAACCACTAGTTCTAGGGCAGCGGGAGCGGCTCTGGGTGCTGCTGGCTTCATGCAGGTCATCGGGTGGGGTGGCAGCCGGGCGTCAGGCCCGGGAGAACAGCACGTGGCCTCGGTCCTCCTGCAGAGTGCAACCTCTGGAGCCTACTCGGTGGCCATTTGCTCAATGTGGTCACTAAGTAGCTTGTATTGCTCTGGAAGAGAAAATGATGTGATTTCTCAGATGAAGGATGGTGACAGGGACAGGTATGTCCTGCTCTTGTCACTCAGGCAGGGACAAATCAGGGCCTCCCTGGGAGCAGGGCTGCGACTTCCAAACCACACTGCAATCCGCAGGCCACACTGCTTGTGTGCTTCAGGGCCGGGCTGTGCCATGAGGGCACGGTGCATACACAGCCTCTTGACCAGCATGCCACCTGTCGGGCACAGCAGGTGCCTGGAAGGGGCCCTTAGAACTAGGAATGTACATTCTTAGGAAAATGGTATCATGGGGTGCAACCCCTGCAGCCTGTGAAAGGCACAGGGCGATCAGTCTAGCCAGCCTGGGGACCAGGGGACACGCATCCTCCTCTGCCCTTTGCTAGTGAGGTGGGGCCGCTGGCAACATTTTCAGATGATCCAGTAGCCACTGGCACTGTCACACCTCCTGTGGCCACTCCACCGCAGATCCCTTGAATTACATGGAGAAGGGGATTCCCTAAGGAATACATGTCAATCCGTATCCACGCCTGAGCGTGAGGCCTTTTCCATGAAGAGGAAGCAGTGCTTGTGGCAGATGGGGTGGCATACAGGGACCGGCCCCGCACAGGAGGGCACCAGCGTTGCAGAAGCTCGCTGCTGTTATGGAGGCCAGAGATTCCAGAGAAACCTCAAAACTCCCTCCCCACCTCCCCTGCCCCTCGATACTTGTCATGGCAGTGAGGTCTGAGAAAGAAAAGGAAGCCACATGGCCGCCGTTCAGCAGGGAGCAACTCGGGGTTGGAGTCTGGCTCCCTGCAAGCTCTGGGCCCAGGTGCTGTGTCCCCCTCCTTTGCCCCGACTGTGAACACCAAGGCTGCAGCCCCAACCCCAGCAATCCCATCTAGTAGAAATGGATTCCAAATGGAATGAGAGGTGTCCTGTGTGTGTGTCTGCACAGACCAGGGAGACAGGAGGGCCGACCGCCCAGAGAGCTCAGCAGCACATTCCTGATGGCCACACGACATACCTCCTGGCAGTGCAGAAGCACCAGCGGGCACAGCCCTGCCTCCGGACCCAGCCCTGCCTCCGGACCCCAGCCCTGCCTCCCGACCCAGCCCTGCCTCCGGACCCCAGCCCTGCCTCCCGACCCAGCCCTGCCTCCGGACCCAGCCCTGCCTCCCGACCCAGCCCTGCCTCCGGACCCCAGCCCTGCCTCCGGACCCAGCCCTGCCTCCGGACCCAGCCCTGCCTCCGGACCCAGCCCTGCCTCCGGACCCAGCCCTGCCTCCCGACCCCAGCCCTGCCTCCGGACCCCAGCCCTGCCTCCGGACCCAGCCCTGCCTCCGGACCCAGCCCTGCCTCCCGACCCAGCCCTGCCTCCGGACCCAGCCCTGCCTCCCGACCCAGCCCTGCCTCCGGACCCAGCCCTGCCTCCCGACCCAGCCCTGCCTCCGGACCCAGCCCTGCCTCCCGACCCAGCCCTGCCTCCGGACCCAGCCCTGCCTCCCGACCCAGCCCTGCCTCCCGACCCAGCCCTGCCTCCCGACCCAGTCCTGCCTCCGGACCCAGCCCTGCCTCCCGACCCAGCCCTGCTCGCCTCCCGCCAGCGGCCTACGAGACGCACCTTCGTCCAGGTTGCCAATCACAGCCTGCTTCTTCAGGAAGTCATTGCACAGCTTCTTGTTCAGGCCGAAGGCGAGCATGTTGTGCGTGAACGTGCTGCAGGAGAAACCCCCTGAGCATCACCCACCAGCCTCCCGGGAAAAGGGCCGGGGAACTGGGCCCTTGTCTCTGGGACGCTCAGCATGGCCTGCCTGGAATCGTTGGCAAAAATTGAAATGCACCGCTGCTTAATTAGGCACCAGCGACTCAGTGCGGCACTACCAGGGGTCGTGTAGGAGGCGGATTAATTACGAGCTGGCATGGAAGCCACGTGTGATGAACCGAACACCTCATAGCAGGCTGCCATCGCACCCCAGGGCATGACATCGGGAGGGACAGCTCACAGGGCAGGCCCTCCCCCTGGCTCCCCTTCCCCTTTCCCACTTCCAGCCCTTACCCCAGCTGCCCAAAGGTGATGTTCTCGTTGAACCGGAGGCTGTCGTCACGCTCCTCCTGGGTCATGTGGCACCACTTCTCCCTGCAAGCACAGGAGGTGACAGGAGCAGGGCTCACATGGTGCTGTCCTTGCCCCGGCTCCTCACCCTGCTCTGACCCGAGGGTGCTGGCAGCACCATGCACGGCCCCCCAGGGGGAAAAGGGGGGTACCCTCCACTGGACAGCTGTGTGCTGGGCCTTTCCACAGGCCTGCCGGGACCCTGACACCGCGCTTGGGGACCCTAACATTCACCTTACTCTTCACAAGATAGAGATGTGGAAACTAAAGTGCTCTTTACGCCCCAAAGGCGCAGAGGACCAGGTCTACCCAGGCGTTCTGCAGGCAGTGAGGCCGGCCCCAGGGCTTCACTATGGTTGGAAAGTAGGGTCTGGGCCCATCCCAGGGGAAGAAATCTCCAGAAAGGGAGGGGACCTGCAGGTCTTAGTGGCCCAGGGGACGTTCTCAGACTCACGCCTGTGTCTCCTGGGGCCAGCTGTGGATGGCAGCTGTGACAGAGGCCAAGGGTGCTGAGGGCCACACTGTCCCCTGTCTGCAGAGTACTGTGCCCTGCTCTGCTGCAGTTTCTCCATGATGGCTTTCTCGAGGCCCTCAACTCCCTCTCTAGTCCACTCCCTAACTGACAGAGCAGACCCCCACTCTTCCTGCCGGCTTGACTGTGGCCCTGTGTGCCGAGGCCCATGGCAAAGGGAGCACCCAGGCGTGAGAACAGTGCTGAGAACCCAATGACACAGCACTGGCTGAGGTCTGCGTGAGCTTCAGGAGCCGGCAGGGACCCTGTCGCGTTCTCTGCACAGGGCCTGGGGTGGGAGGGTGTTCTGAGCGTTCACGGCCACAGGCTTAGAGGGAGTGCTGCTAATCCTTCACCTTCCGGGCAGGACAAGGGGGATCCCCACCTCTTCCCCACCCCTCACTGCCACAGAGCCTTTCTGTGTTGCCAGCTCCTTCCTGCCCCTCCCTCCAGGGCCTGTGGCCTCCCTGACCCTTACACAGCTCCCTGGACACCACGTCCATCTGAGAAGCTACCTGCAGGAGCAGCTGCAAACGTGGAATCATTAATTTGAGCCCATTTCCCCCTAAGAAGAAAACTGGATGAATGAGTGACTAAAATAAAGTTGAGAGGAAGATCAAAGGGAAGAGGATGGTGTGAGGGGTGAGAGGCTGGGGCCACGGAGAAGCCGGAGGGAGAGAAATGAAACAAAGGAACATGAACTCCTGGCTCCTCCCCACCCACCCGGCCCACGAGACGTCACTGGTGCTGCTGCAGCTTAGCAGGGGTCACCGGACATCGGGGCATGATGGGGGTGACTAACAAAGGTCACTCCCGGCCTCCTCATGCCGATGGCAGGGTGCCCTTGAATATACTTTCTGGTGCCCCCAGAGTCTGTCCCATTTCCTTCCTACTGTCTTTCCCCCGAAGAGCCGCCCTGAGGACTGTGCAGACACACAAACCCCTCACCACTCCCAGGCCTGCTGTGTAGCTGGGCAGTTCGGGCCCTGCACAGCCCCGGACCACACGGGAACGGCGCCCTTGGAGTTGTGGAGCACAGCAGCCCTGACCCCTCCTCTTCCTGAGCCAGGTGAGGAGACGATTCTTCTTGCCACGGTGAGGATGAAAACTGGGACATTTAACCTGATGTCTGAAGAAAGTGACTAACGCCTGTCATCCCAGCACTTTGGGAGGTCGAGGTGGGCAGATCACCTGAGGTCAGGAGTTCAGGACCAGCCTGGCCAACATGGCAAAACCCCATCTCTACCAAAAATACAAAATTAGCTGGGTGTGGTGGCACATGCCTGTAATGCCAGCTACTCGGGAGGCTGAGGCAGGAGAATTGCTTGAACCCAGAAGGCGGAGGTTTCGGCGAGCCGAGATCGCGCAATTGCACTCCAGCCTGGGTAACGAGAGCAAAACTCCATGTCGAAGGAAAAAAAAAATGAGCCAGTGGTGGTGGCAAGTGCCTGTGATCCCAGGACTCAGGAGGCTGAGGCAGGAGAATCACTTGCACCTGGGAGGTGGAGGTTGTGGTCCGCTACGATAGCGCCACTGCACTCCAGCCTGGACAACAGAACAAGGCTCCATCTCAAGTTTAATTTCCAGTACTGGTCAAGCTCTTGACACTGCACAGGGAGCTGAACATGTCTCCGCTGCCATGGTGGGAATCTGGACAGGACTGACTGCCTGCTGAAGGGGAAAGTTTCTGAAACGGAGAAACGTCTGCCTCTGTGGACAGAGAGGATGATAATGGCACCTTGCTGTCATCAGAGGTTACCAAAAAAGAGATGTCACGTTGGAGGCCTGAGGTCGCTGGGAACCTGGAGGCAACCTCGACCCCTGCCCCCTGCCACCTGCTTCAACCTCAAAGCAATACTCTGCCTTCTTCTGGGGAAGGCCCAGGGGTCCTCAGAGATGAGGAGCTGGTGCAAAGCTCTGTGTGGTCAAAGCTGATCTGCCCTGGTGAGAAGGCCCAGGAGGCCACGGTCCCCTCAGGTGTGCTCAGGACAGGCCACACCTCCCCCGCAGCGCTGGCCAGCTCTCAAGAGGATGCTGGGATGCTCCCAGACCTCCTCGGGCCAGGGCTTTGAGGCTGACTGGCTCTGGAAGTCTGGTTAATCACACGGTCACCCAGAGAGTCTGTGAAAACCCAGAGGCTTTGTTCATGAAAGGAGGTGTTTGTCAGGCCTGAGCATTCCCTTGAAAGCTATAGCAAGTCTGCACAAGAAACTCGAGTGCTACCGACAGTAAATGCTACAGACGTGTCACTGACTAGAGGAGGCAGCCTCATGAATCCTCCACGGAAAGACATCGAATCTGGGACTTTGTTTGAAGAGGCAGATCAGCAGCTCTAAAAACACATCACAAAGGATTCTAGCCAACTGAAAGGTAAACAGGGAGAGTCAGACCCCTCTGTGGGCTGGCAGGAGACAGCCACGTTCTAGGATTTCCTTGGGGACCCCTCGCACCCACATCTCCAAGTGGCTGGAAAAGTGGGAGTGCTGTCTTTCTTCCGTGCCTCCCTCAACCTAGCAGCCCCAACACACCGGACAGTGGGTGGTGTTGAAAACAGGACAGGCTCTGCACCCCACCCACAGCTTCCCAGATGAACCGAGACCCACTTCTCCAGCCTGCACAGTGAGGCCAAGGGCAAGGCTGCCAGGCCTGTTCAGAAGGGGCCAGAGTGGCTGGTGGAGAGCACAGCTGGCTCAGAACCGGAGCCGGCTTTCCCCAACGTTGCCGCCTCTGCCCCTCTGAGCTCACGCTGTCGCCAGGGCGTCTCCAGGTGTCACATTTGTTTTCTGACTATTTTGGAGTGCTGTGGCCTCAGGAGGCTCCCACCTGCCCAGTTCTGGGACGTGTCGCCAGCCTGCCCTAGCGCTGGCCTCACCTCCCCAGGGCCGCCCTCCCCGCTGGCCGCCAGGCTGCACCTGCGTCTGGACTGTGCCCGCTGCAGCAGCTCAGCACGGTGCACAGCCCCCACGGTGCACAGCCCCCACGCTGCATGGCCTTCGCAGGAGCCCGCACTGTAAAATGGAACAGTCACGTGGACACACACACCTCTTCTCCTCCTCCTCTCCAGCATCCCCTCTGGAGCGGCAGCAGAAACAGGTAAACAAAGGAACATGTCAAAGTCATGCAAGATATGTGGATGGTCAAAAGAGAACAAGCAGAGAAGGAGGGTTATTACAGGCAGAAACGGAGCGGGACAGAGAGAGACAGGATATTCGAAATAAATTCACTTCCTGGAAGTCTGAGAGCTAAAGAGGAACGCCCACCCGCCCAGAGGCATCTAAGCATTTCCCTCGTTCTGCTGTCCTGGTAGAGCGGGGTCTCTCTCGAGGGTCCTCAGGCAGTCTCAGTGTCTTTCCCTCTCCACCAGCCCCTCTGCCTCCCCAGGAAATGTGGCCATGGCAGAATGCTCTGGGCCCCCCGCCCCCAGTACGGTTTTAGCTGCCCCCAGAGATAAGAATTTCTCTTGAGACACTCCAAGTGCTGGTAGACGAGAAACTTCACCCCAACAGCAGCCATCTGCTCACCCTCCCAACAAGGGTTGAGAGTAGGGGGTCTCTCTGGGGTTACAGAGGGAGGGATGTGCTTTATTAACAAGGAGACCAGTGCCCTGAGAGGTTCAGAGACTTTAGTCCTGCGACTGGAAGGGGCTCTCGCAGGGGCTGCTGTCCCTCGCTGTCACATCACTGCACGCGGTGGATGGCACCTTTCCTTGCTATGGCCAGAGAGAGAACGCAGCATCGCCCCCAGGGAGTGGGTGCCAGCCCTCCCCCCCACCGCCAAGTGTGAGGTGGCCTCCGCGAAGCCAGGAAGGTCTCGTCAGGCTGCAGACCACGAGGTGAGCTGTGAGCGGCAACTGCATTCCCCAGGCGAGCTCTCAAGGGCACAGTCTTGGGGGCTGGCCAGCCCTTCCTCCCAGGACTGCTCTAAGGGTTGGTCCCCAGGGTGCTGATTTTGTACAGCAAACAGCAGGGTGGGCCTGGGAGGGGAGGTCCTGGTGTCTAACTCAGTGGGAGGTTGCATTTTTAGGAGGGTCAGGCCAAGTCATGCCAGAGCCCCAGGACAGAAAGCGCTCATGCAAGCTGAGCACCCCCCATGAAGCTGTGAGCCCTCAGGCGGCTTGCAGGGCACCAGGGCCACGGGGGTGAAGGAAAAACAGACAGGTCCACTCAGCTGTCTTTGGCTCTCCTCTTCCAAAACCGGGACATAAAGCCACTCCCTGGTCCTTTTTCCTGAGGCCAAATGGGGCCACACTTTGCTCCTACCTGGTGGTGGGAGATCGCTTTGTCCTCTCACAATGGACAGCGTCAAAAAAGGCTGCGTTCCAGAACCTCAGCGTGTGCCTGCAAGACAGAGACCCGCGTCAGCCCTTCCCAGGGGAGGTGGGAAGACCCGGGCCGTGGGCCTTGAGGGATAAGCAAGGGCTGTGTCTCAACCTGTCTGAGCTTCTGAAGTCTCAGAGGTAGGGCTGAGAAGGAAACACTGAGCATGTGACGTGTCTCCCTGGGGCTCCTGGCTGCAGCTGTGCAGCTCTCTCGGGGAAGACGGCGCAAGTGGGAGGGAAAGCTTTATGACCCTGGCTGCAGGAGGGAGCCGGCAGCCAGAGCCCGAGCCACCATCTGTAGGACACAGGAGCGGGATGTTTTCTTCTTCTGCCCTTCCCGTTGGGACTCCCAAGACGAGGCAGAGGGCTGGGAAGATGTACTTTTCTACGATGGGGTCTAGTAACATAAATGGGAACCCGGCAGGGACACGCCACATGCCGAGCAAACTAACGTTCAGAGGGACACTTGGGCACTCGAGGAAAAACATTCTTTTTTTTTTTTCTTTTTTAAGACGGAGTTTTGCTCTTATTGCCCAGGCTGGAGTGCAGCGGCGCAAATCTTGGCTCACTGCAATCTCCGTTTCATCTGTTCAACCAATTCTCCTGCCTCAGCCTCCTGAGTAGCTGGGATTACAGGCACCTGCCACCATGCCTGGCTAATTTTGTATTTTTAGTAGAGACGGAGTTTCACCATGTTGGCGAGGCTGGTCTGAACTCCTGATCTCAAGTGATCTGCCTGCCGTGGCCTTCCAAAGTGCTGGGATTACGGGCAGGAGCCACAGCGCCGAGCAGAAAAATTCTTAAAGCACATCAGGGGTTGGCAAATTATGGTATGTAGGCTGAAGCGGGCCAGCGGCCTGTCTCTGTAAATAAAGTTTTATTGGAACAAGCCAGGCTCATTCATTTATGCAACATCTCTGGTGGTGTTCACGCTGCAGCAGCATCGTGGGGTGGCTGCAGCAGAGACCATCTGGCCTGCAAAGTCTAACATATTTATTATCTGGCCCTTCACAAGAAAGTTTGCCAAGTGACAATGAAGAGACAGCAACGAAGTCAGGGACAGAGGAGCTGAGCTTAAACTCCAGGCGGCAGGACACAGCAGGCCAGCTTCTCCCCTCTCTCTGCTTCCACAGGGACCAGGTCCAGCCTCCTCAATGGCCTTCCTGACGGCCCCAGCCCTGCCCTCTGCCCTCTGGGTCCCCGCAGCACTGCCTGCCCAAGGTCCTCACATAGCCCTTGCTAGGTTACCAGCGAAATGCAGCACAGCCGACTGTGATCCTCAGGGCAGGGAGGGCGTTTCTGACACTGATTCCAGGTGCTAGCAAAGCTCCCTAAAAGATGGCGAGGAGGCTTCAGAGAGACTAAAGCAGTGTGACGATCGTCTGCAGAGCTGGGCCATATGCCAGGGCGGGCAAGATTTCCCCTGCAACAAGTCTCACACTTCAACCACAACCTTCATTCGTTTACATGTATGTAATAGCTTAATTAGGATATAATTCATATGCCATGAAATTCACCCTCTAGGCTGCGCGTGGTGGCTCACGCCTGTAATCCCAGCCCTTTGGGAAGCTGAGGCAGGTGGATGGATCACGAGGTCAAGAGATTGAGACCAGCCTGGCCAACATGGTGAAATCCCATCTCTACTAAAAAATACAAAAAATTAGCTGGGCGTGATGGCCCACGCCTGTAGTCCTAGCTACTCGGGAGGCTGAGGCAGGAGGATCGCTTGAACCTGGGAAGCAGAGGCTGCAGCGAACTGAGATGACTCCACTGTACTCCAGTCTGGTGAGAGTGGGATTCCGTCTCAAAAAAAAACAAAACCAAATTCACTCTCTAAAATATTCACAGAGTTGTGCGGCCACCACCATTTCCACAACATTCCCTCACCCCATAAAGCCCATCCCCATCAGCAGCCACTTCCGGCTCCCACTCCCTGCCCTCTGCCCTGGCAGTCAGCCATCTGCTCTGTCTCTAGGAATGTGGCTGTTCTGGACACTGCACATGAACGGCACAACGCAAGGGCTTCTGTGTCCAGCTTCTTCCACTGAGCTTCACGACGCTTCCCAGGTCTATCCGCGTTGCAGCGTGGAGCAGCACGGCATTCCTTTTCAGGGCTGGGTAATATTCCATGCAATGCATGGACCACATTCCGTTTACCCATTCATCAGCAGACAGCCATGAAGACTGTTCCCACTTTGGGGCCGTAATAAACGACACCGCTGCAGTCTTTTGTGGACAAGGTTTTGTGAGGAAACACGTTTTTGTTTCTCCTGGGCAATTCCCAGGGGTGGAGCTGCCAGGTTACAGAGGAACTCTGTGTTTTACCATTAAAGGAAGTGCCAGGCTGTCTTCCACAGCGGCCACTGCATTTACATTCCCACCAGCCGTACAGGAGACCTCCAATTCCTCCATATCCTAAACAACACCCGTGAGTGTTCATCTTTTTATTCTGCCACTCTGGGGGTATGAGAATTCTGCCATTCTGGTGGGGACGAAGGCAGCTAGAAGTGATCCCGGGGAGTGACTGCTGGCCCCATAAGTAAGGGTGACGGGAAGTGGTGGGCTCGGCCTTACCAGATGGGCTGCTGCTTCAGGTGCGTGTACAGGTAGATCTTCTCCCCCTTCTTTTCGTCCTCGGGGCTGTACACAGTCACTGCGGGAGGAGAGAGTAAGGCTGAATGCAACTCTGGCTGCGCACCTGCTGTCGGCAGTCCCCAGGCGACAGCCTCCCGGCAGCCAGTTTCTACTGAGGTCACAGAGACACGGGTGGAAATTCTACCATGGCTTTTCTGTAATGATGCTATTTCCGTAATGATGCTATTTCCACCTGGCAACGAGGACGTCTTCTGAGAGAACGCCCGGAGGCCGTGCGCCTGCATGTATGCTGGCTGAAGGGCGTGGGCCGGGCATCTCCCCCTGCTGCCTGGGCAGACTCACCAGCCCTGGGCCGCTTCTCCTGGGGTTTGTTCTCGTCTTCCCTGAGGGAGAGAAGGCACCACAATAACACATGTGACTCACACCACACTTTCTCAAATCACTCTTCTGGATCCCTCAGGTGGGACTGGTGCATTTAACACAGCCTGCGCTCAAAAGCTTTTTATGAAATCCAGGCTCTATTGGTCAACTGCCAATGTTTCAAAATTGAGGAAATGTGGCATTGAGGTTTCCTTATGTCATTTTCTTTGAATCCAAAGCTGAATGGGGCAGAGGAGGAGGCCAAGACCAAGGCACCTGGCTGCGGCCCAACCGTGGGTGGGAACAGGGGACCCCAGGGGCTTGCTCTGGCTGCCACAGCCCTCCTCCCTGTGGAAGTTGTAGCTTCTGTGTGCCTACTTCTGATGTGCCCGTCCCCAAAGGGGTTCCTGGAGTGCCTGCCAGAGCCCTGCTCTCCTGGGGACAGTGTTTTTCCTCCTGCAACTCAAGACTGTGTTCCACAAGCACGCACTCTTGGTCCAGCCAGGGGATGGAGGCAACAGACAGGACAGAGGGGAGGGGCTGCAGTTCCCTCTGTGATCTGACAATCCCTTGGGCTCCTCATCAGTTTCAGGGAGTGTGGCCCCCAGGAACATCTCTGCATGTGGGTGGGGGCTCGGCTTTAGAGCACAGCAAGCGGTGGGGGTGGCGGCGGCTGGGCAGTGCTGTGCTCCTGGCAGTTTCTGGACCTCTCCCGCACCCTCCCTGACACCCTTGCCTGAGCTCTGTGCCACCCTCTCCCCCAGTCCCCAGCAGGTGAGAGAAACCCCAAGGCCACACGTACTCATTCTTCCTGACCAGGGGCCCCTTCAGCTTGGTCTCCAGCCCCCCGAAGAAGCCCTTGACGTTCTCGGTCCTGGCCGAGGTGTTCTTCAGCAGGCGCTCGGCGATGTCCTTCTTCTCGGCCAGCCAGCTGTTCGCGGACTTCAGGTAGGAGTCAATGCTGCCCGCGGGCTTCTCCCGAGACTCTGGGGGCTGCAGCTGTGGTTTTCCTTGGACAAGAGAGGGAACAAGACAAGACCAGTGAGGCCAGGGTCTGCGCCTGCTAACTGTAGAGGTCCAGACGGAGGCCTGGGGACACAGGAGCCTCCCTCCTTAGCCCAGGACAGGGGTGGAACAGGCTCAGCCAGCCCAGGATGAGGAAGTGGGGGCCCTGCTCCCCATGAGCACCCCCAGCACCTGCTGTGCACAGAGAAGCCACCAGGAACAGGGAGGGAGCAAGATGCAGGAGGGAACCAGACCCAGGTGGCAGGGTCTTCAGGGAGGCAAGGGCAGAGGCCTGACCACGCCAGCACCAGAGAGGCAGGAGCCAGCTGGGCACCGACCCTGGAATGGGAGTGTGGGGACAGCAGGAGGGGCCCTGGAGGAGGAGCCTGGGTAGCACCCAAACTCCCTTAGCCAGAGGATGGACATGAGGCCCTGATGCCCCCACAGGATGGGACATCCCCACAGCTCCCAGGGCCCACCATAGGTCAAAGGCCCTCTGCAGACCCCGGCAGGGCGTCCTCACAAGCTCAAGCCGCTGTGCATAGCCCTGTCTCAGGACGCAGCATCTACTCGTTATGTGTCTATCTGTTCTTTGAAAAGGAAGAGGTTGCACTGGGGGCTCCCGCCCCACCCGAAGCAGCTGACGAAGGGCCTGGCAGGAAGGGCCTGCCCACTGGGACACTGGCCGTGGTAGTCAGACCAACTGAACCGAAGGGTGCGGAGAGGATGGCTGTGGGGCGGGGAGGGGTCACAATCAACCCAAGAGCAAGCACGTAGGTCCCAAGAGAGGATAGCAAGGGGGGCTGGGACCCAGCACCTCCCTGCCCAGCTTCAGTCCAGGTGGAGGCTTCCAACGACCTTCCACTTAGGGTGACCTGAGTAAGTCCCGTTGCTGCAGCCCAGGGAGAGTCACACAGGAAGCCCCTGAGCTCCAACGCACCAGAAAGTTCCAACGCAATGAGGCGGAAGAGATGCCACAGCCTCGGCATCAACAACAGTCCGTACTCCTCATGTGCCATCTCCAGCCCAGCCCAGGAACCCTCTGAGCTTCAGATCCCAGACGGCTCCTCCCCGCTGCCCTCCAAAAACCGAGTGTGCCCTGTTTTGCTAAAATGTAAAACTGGGATCTTCACATCCAGCAGTCCCTGTCTCCACCACGTGACGTCCTGCCCCACGTTTCTTTCCTCATCGCCTCACATCTCAGGAGTCTCCTTCGTATCCTGGGCTGTCAACCTCCCACCCTACACGATTCGGACATGCTTTCTCCTCCTCTTTTAGAAGTCTCACTCTTCCCTAACATCAGCTTCCTCTGTTCTCTGGAGGCCCCATAGCCTTTGCTCTTCATCATGAAGAAAGCTTCCTCTGACAGCACGATGGCAGCTGATGAGCCTCAGGGTGACCCCACGTCAGCCCACGGTGTCTTACCGATGTGGTAGTAGGTGAAGCACATGGTCATGAGGTTCTTGGCAGGCCCAAAGTCATCCATCTGATGGCACCTGAAACGAGAGGCAAGGCCCACAGCTGAAGCCCCCTCCACCTGTCTCTCCCTGCAAGTTGGCCAGACGCCAAGAGACACTTAATGCATGCGCCCCAATTATCCCTTCTCCAATGGAGAAGCCACAAAACTATCCCCGGGTTCCATTGGGAGAGCTGCCCACAGCACGCGGCCTGGGACTGACTGTAGGAAGGAGTCTGTGGTCTGCCTGCCTGGCTTCTTTCACTGCAAAGGTGAAAGCCAAGGCCCAGGAAGCTCAGCTCAACACCCAGGAGCAGAGCCAGGAGGAGAAGCTGGGGTTTGAGTGTCAGTGCAAACCTGTGGCCCAGGCCACCCGGTGCTCCAGCACTCGTCCTGGGGAGGAGGGTGAGGCAGGAGGTGGAGCCTCTCACTCAGCAGGTCTCGGTCTTGGGTGGGGCCATTCCTTTGGATTTCAGGCTTCTTTACTTTATCTGTGGTTTTTTTTTTTTTTTTTTTTTTTTTTTTTTTGAGACAAAGTCTTGCTCTGTTGCCAGGCTGGAGTGCAGTGGTGTGATCTCAGCTCACTGCAACCTCCAACTCCCTGGTTCAAGTGATTCTCCTGCCTTGGCCTCCTGAGTAGCTGGGATTACAGGCATGTGCCACCACACCTGGCTAATATTGTATTTTTAATAGAGATGAGGTTTCTACATGTTGGTCAGGCTGGTCTTGAACTCCCGACCTCAGGTGATCCACCGATCTCTGACTCCCAAAGTGATGAGATTACAGGTGTGAGCTACTGCGCCCGGCTGCTTCTCAGCCTTTCTATCCTGATCTGTTTCACACTTTTTTTTCCTGTTTAGGTTTTAACCTTGGACAACTATTACAAGTCAAAAGAAATTATCTAGACCGTGGTATTAAGGGCCATTTTATCTTTTTCCATAAAAAAACTAATCAACTAAACTAGTAATAAAACTGTAAAAGACTAAAAGTGAAAACTAAAGAAAACCCATATTGTCTAAATGTTAAAAGCATTTCTGCTTCACTTTGTTCTGAAACTGTACACACATATATGTGCTCAGGGACCAAGTGATGGGAAGAAGTTTTGTGTTTTGGCAAGGTTAGGACTTCAACCCCCCCTCCCCAATTTTACGTACGTAAAACAAAAAACTCAAAGAAAAACGGAGAATTACTTTAGCCTAGTGCAAATTAAGAAAAAGAAAATGGAGATTTAGAATTATGCACATTTGGGGTTCATGAAAACACCTATGATGCAAAGGTTTGGAAACTGAGGTATCTTAACTGCATGAATGTTTCATAAAAGGCAATCTGGAGGGTCTGTTTCAAACCAGGGCCCTCCCGGCCAAAGGTGAGGGCTCACTCAGCCTCTTTCAGCCAAGGTTTCTGAGCCCCTCCCCTGGCCAGCTCTGAAGCCCAGAGGGGAAATGGGTCTCAGACTTGGGGGTATCCTGAGAAGGCAAGAAAAATAGGGATCTTCCTTTTGTTGGTCTTCTTCTTCCAGTATATGCCCAGGTTTAAAGGACAAGAGAGAAAGGGGAGAGACATGAAGATGCAGGAGAACTGGGACTCAAGAGAGCAGGCTGGGCGTGGGGCACACCTGCAATCCTAGCAATTCACAAGGCTCAGGAAGGAGGAGCCCTTGAGCCCAGGAGTTCGAGACCAGCCTGGGAAACATAGCGAGACCTCGTCTCTACTTAAAAAAATATATATACATACGTGTGTGTGTGTGTGTGTGTGTGTGCATGGAATATGGCCAGACATGGTGGCTCACTCCTATAACCCCAGCACTTTGGGCAGCTGAAGTAGGTGAATCACCTGAGGTCAGCAGTTCGGGACAAGCCTGGCCAACATAGTGAAACCCCATCTCTACTAAAGATACAAAAATTAGCTGGGCGTGGTGGCACATGCCTGTAGTCCCAGCTACTTGGAAGACTGAGGCAGGAAAATTGCTTGAACCCAGGAAGCGGAGGTTGCAGTGAGCTGAGATACCATTGCACTCCAGCCTGGGAGACAGAGTGAGATCCTGCTTCAAAGAAAAGATAAATTAAAAATTAGCCAGGTGTGGTGGAATGCACCTGTAGTCCTAGCTTATTTGGGAGGCTGAGATGGGTGGATCCCTCAAACCCGGGAGATTGAGGCTGTGGAGAGCTGTGATTGCACCACTGAACTCCAGCCTGGGTGACAGAGCAAAATTCTGTGTCAAAAAAAGAAAGGAAGAAAGAAAGAAAGGAAGAAAGGAAGGAAGAAAGGAAGAAACAAAGAAAGGAAGGAAGGAAGGAAGAAAGAAAGGAAGGAAGGAAGGAAGAAAGAAGGAAAGAAAGGAAGAAAGAAAGACAGGAAGAAAGAAAGGAAGGAAGGAAGGAAGAAGGAAAGAAAGAAAGAAAGAAAGGAAGGAAGGAAGGAAGAAAGAAAGAAAGAAAGAAAGAAGGAAGGAAAGGAAAGAAGGAAGGAAGGAAGAAAGGAAGGAAGAAAGAAGGAAGGAAAGAAAGGAAGAAAGACAGGAAGAAAGGAAGGAAGAAAGAAAGAAGGAAGGAAAGAGAAAGAAAGTGATTCAAGAGAGCAGCTCCCTTCTGGTTGGGAGACAGGGAAGTAAAGGAGGGAGATTTTTCAGGCTTGGAAGGACAAAAACACAGTGATGAGGGGAGCTGGTGATGGGAGGAGCCAGGACCAGGAGAGGGCGCGGGGTCCAGAGCAGGGGCTGCCTGGAGGCCTTCTGCAGGCAACAGGGATAGTGGGGTGCAGATATGCCCCCAGGCTCCCAGCCCCAGAATCTGCCTCTTGAGGCTCCAGGTTGGTCAGGCCACTGCCCAGTCTCCCCAAGGCTGAGAGGTATCCCCTCCATTTCATACTTTGGAGGCATGAAGCTGGTCTGGTGACCCCAGAGAGTCATGCTCCTGAGAAGGGGTCTGTGCATTATGGAGTCTGGGTCCCTAATCTCACAAGTAAGCAAGGTCAGAGATGGGATTTGGCCCCAAATCTCCAGCTGGTGGCCGTGCCCTTTCCACCACCCATCACTGCCTACCACGGGCTTCTGTGATCAAAGGCCCCAGCGGTGCCTCATCAGCACACGCAGGGAAGGCCACAGTCGTCCCAACGTATCATTGAGTGTTTATTTGCTTGTGGGATGGGCGGTTATTGAGTCTGAAGTAATTCACAATAGGAACTGGAGAAAGTGCCAGATCTCCGGAGGGTAGGGCCCCAGTACATCATCATGACGTGGCTCTGAGGACCCGCACAGAGAATGCTCCTCACACCCAGCTGCAGTCCTCTCATTCTACTGCCGGCTAAGGACCGCCAGCCCCGCTCCCACGAGATGCTGGTCACGACTGTGCCTTTTAGCTGATGCTGGGTATAGCAGAGCAATTACATCCTGATGACTACTGTGGATATGACTCACGGCTGGGTTGTGACATGGCTGGGCGGGGAGGGAGGGAGGAAAGGGAGCTTGCCAGGACAGAGGCTTTGAGCAATGGCCTTACTTACTCAAACAGCACCACTGCAAAAGACTGCACCAGGCGGTAGAAGGTTGCCTCGGAGACACACTTGGAGTTGCAGCGCTGTCCAGAAAGAGGCCAGACACATCACTAAGGTTCGAGGTGACACAGGCAGCACTCAGCGAAGCTGCGGGCTTTCCACTCTGAGCGTTTCTAAATGCAGCTGGGATGGGGGCCCAGGATGGCCGCTGCCTCTGCACTACAGAACCCCCCGCCGCCGCCAGACTCGGGCAGAGCGCAGCCACCTGCACCCAACCATCCCTGGGCAGGGCACACCCAAGTGTTCCCCTTGGTGTCCTTCCCAGATTTTTCAAAGTAGGACCTTCATACACATCCACACACGGAAAGGCATGAGGGACAAAACCCCACAGTGACAACGCTATTTCCAGGCTGTGGATTTGTGGGTGACTAACTTCTCTTTGCTTATCTGCATTTTCTAATTTTTCCATGAAAAGTAAATAATTTCTGATAAAATACTTAAAAACTAAGAACTTAGGCCACTCAGGAAAAAAGAAGCACCTACTGGATATTTACAAAATTTAATTCTTTCCTAAACTTCATTAATATACTGTTCTTCACATGGCTGTCACGGTCTTGAATTTTTTCATATTTCTTTTTAACAAAAACCCAGTATTGTGGATTAATAAAAATATGTACGCACATAACTCACATGCTTGCCTTTAAAAAATGAGCTTTACTGGAATTTCATGAAGTTGAAAGCCCAGTTTCTTACCCCTTCCCTTAAAGTTCGACGTCCAAATGGGCTGCTTACTGTTTCTCACTATTCTTTTTCAATTTCTGGAGATGGGGGAAGGAGGGGGGACTCACTATACTGCCCCAGGCTGCTCTCGAACTCCTGGGCTCAAGCGATCCTCCCACCTCGGCCTCCCAAATTGCTGGGATTACAGGCATGAGCCACCGTGCCCAAACTGTCTCTTGCTCTTCTAAACACTCCTTTTCAGAACATTTTTGGGTAAGTTTAACTTTTTTTTCTGTTGGGTCATTTCCCTTGACCCTTTTCTCCAGAGTGTCATTACAGGATAAGGTGAAATTTGTTGTACATGAAGATTCTTCATAATTTGTTCTGTTAAGATTCTTCCGTAAGAGTAAGTGCCCGTCCTCCTATCACCTCTCCCTTACCTGGGCACTCACGTATCGGGCAAACCACTCCCGGCCTTTTCCATTTTCACTGCTGCAGTACTCTCCAAACTTGGCTTTCTCCTCCTGGTCCAAGTCCTCTCTTAAAAAAGAAAAAAAAAAAAGAACAGAGGAGAAAAAAAAAAACAAAACCCTTTTCAATCCCCTGGAGCCATAGTGGAAGAGAAAGGAGACGGAACTAACAAAGCATTGCTCTCCAGCCCAGCGCAGGCACCGGGCTCCTGACAGCCTCCGGGCAGTCCCATGAGGAAGGGGCATTACTGTTATTTCAAAGGCGAGGAGCTGGCCTGGAGAATCAGATGCCAGGTTGAGAGTGGAGAACCAGAGTTCCATCCAGGCTTCCCGGTTCCAAAGCCTGTGTCCTTGCCCCTGCACTTCCTGACCCCTGCCTGGGGAGGTCTGTGCCTGAATAAGGGTATGAACCCTAACAGGTCTTGGTTCTCCAGCTTTCTGACTTCCCACTAGTTTTTGATGATGAGGTCAGCATGGAACCGGCCCCTGAATCTAAGACTTCCTGAATTTTCTGTCTCAGCATACGCATGCCGAGGTCTGATGCCATGAAGAAAATCATCTCCCACTGGTCAGCGGGGTGCTCACTGATCCTTCTGCACTTCCAGAGCAAGGCTGTTCACGGCTGGGACCGTCCCCTGCTGTGTGTGTGAGGGATGGAGACTGGGAACCTCCACCTGGGTGTCACCACCACTAGGATAAATGACATACCCACTGATCTCAGGCCACTTCTCCTCACTCTTGGTAAGGGGCCGATACCCTTCCCCAAATTTAAAGACTCAAACATGAAGCAGAAGCCTGAAGATCACTTGGCTTGTGGGATCTTCATTCATTCAGGGTTCTGTAGAAAGTACCTTGGTTCTCAACTACTCTAAATACCAACAGCAGATAAATGGGTGTCTGCAGGCTTTTGCAGTAGTTTCTGGAATGCGTGTGAAGATGCACCTGACTCAGGTGTCCGCATTCTGTGATGCCGACAGGCTGCAGATACAGACTGCCTTTCCCGGCAAATGAGCAAACTTCCGGGCGTTCTCCCTTTTCATTAACTGGGGTGTGCTCAGAGAAAGCGCCCTCCTCTCAGTGTTGGTCAAACTAAACAAGTAGGAAGCAACATCTGCTCTCCTAAAAGGCATTCAAATCAAAGATCACTGCATTCTTATTTTGTTGATTTTTTTTTGAGACGGAGTCTCGCTCTGTCTTGCCCAGGCTAGAATGCGGTGGCAGAATCTCTGCTCGGTGCAACCTCTCCCTCCCAGCATCAAGCGATCCTCCTGCCTCAGCCTCCCAAGTAGCTGGGATTACAGGCGCGCACCACCACGACTGGCTAGTTTTTGTGTTTTTAGTAGCCATGTGCTTTCATCAAGTTGGGCAGGCTGGTCTCGGACTCCTGACCTTAGGTGATCTGCCCGCCTCTCAAAGTGCTTGGATTACAGGTGTGAACCATTGTGCCCAGCCCATAAATGCATTTTTAGATAGTCAGATATTTGGATTGTCATATGATGGTTCCCTTTTCTAACCACATAGAAAACTGAGCTTGTGGAAAGCAGGCATGAAAAGCGCGAAGTCAGCCCTTGCCAGTATCCATATGAGGGACCTTGACCACGCGGGGAGACAATGGACTATGCAGGCTCAAAAGGCAAAGTCCTCTTTTTTTTTTCCTTTGAGACAGGGTCACCATTTGTCACCCAGGCTGGAGTGCGGTGATATGATCATGGCTCACTGCAGCCTGTGCCTTCCTGGCTCAAGTGATCCTCCCACCTCCGCCTCCTGAGTAGCTGGGACTATGGGTACACGCCACCATGCCTGGCTAATTTTTGGGTTTTTTTTTTTTTTTGGTAGAGAAGGGGTTTCACTATTTTCTCAGGCTGGTCTCAAACTCCTGGGTTCAAGTGATCTGCCCGCCTCAGCCTCCCAAAGTGTTGGGAATACAGATGTAAGCCATGTGCCTGGCCACAAATTCTAATTGCCTTAATTAGACTGGAAAACTTTCCCTTGGCCAGTGCCTCTCAGACACTGATGTGTGTATGAACCGTCTACTGACCTTGTGAAAGGCACATTCTCACTTGGTGGGGCCTGGCAGGGCCCAAGACTCTGCATTTCCAACAAGCTCCCAGGAGTTGCCAATACTGCTGGCCCACACCCAACACAGCAGCAAGCCCATCTGTATCTAGTGCGCTGCTGTGAACGGTGGGAGACCCATGGCCCCGGGGTCTGTCCGCGTCCTCCTTCCCGCCGCTGAGATGTTAAGAGGCCGTGAAGCGGGGAGGGAAAGATCAGGTCGATGCACAGACCCCGGCTTCAGTGGATGCCACAGCCTCACACTGTCCCTTCCTGCTGCTCCAGTTGTCAGTACTCTTATTTTACCCTCAAGAACCACAAAAGAAAGGCCATCCAGAGGCGCAGGGAAGGGCCCCATGCAAACAGCGGCTTCAGAATCAGCTGCTGGCCAGTGTGGTGGCTCGCCCCTGTCATCCCAGCACTCTGGGGGGTTGTGGCAGGAGGACTGCTTGAGGCCATGAGTTTGAGGCTGTGATGAGCTATGACTGCAGCACCGCACTCCAGCCTGGGTGACAGAGTGAGACGCTGTCTCAAAGAAAAAAAAAAAATTAGCTGGGCATGGTGGCATGTACCTCTAGTCCCAGCTCCTTGGGAGACTGTGATGGGAAGGCTGCTTGACTCTAGGAGGCGGAGGCTGCAGTGAGCCATGACTGTGTCACTGCACTCCAGCCTGGGCGACAGAGCAAGACCCTGTCTCTAAAAAATAGAATCTGCTAATTATGAGCACGTGAGCATGGGTAACCACAGCTTTATTATCTTATGTTGCCCTATATTTAATTTCAGTGAGTAACTACAACCTCTTAGCCAACTATAGCTCTGACACGGAGTGCTGGGAGTGGCTAACCTACAAATGCTCAGGTGCAGAGCGAGTGCCCTTGTGTTTAGCTATGAAGATCTGAGACGAGCGTGGCGGAGTGATCAGAGCGATGAGTAAGAAGGAAGAAGTGCTGACTGCCAGAGACAGTCCCTTCCAAAGCCTCACTTAAGAATGCATGAAACAAATTCAGGAATAACATGCATCAGAAGGTAACAGAACTACCCCAGGTGTGGCGGCTCACGCCTGTAATCCCAGCACTTCGTGAGGCCAAGGCTGGCATATCATATGAGGCCAGGAGTTCGAGACCAGCCTGGCCAACAGGGTGAAACCCTATCTCTGCTAAAAATACAAACATTAGCTGGGCATGGTGGCAGATGGCTGTGATCCCAGCTACTCGGGAGGCTGAGACACGAGAATCGCTTCCACCCGGGAGGCAGGGCTTACAATAAGCTGAGATTGCACCACTGCACTCCAGCCTGGGTGACAGAGCCAGACTCTGTCTCAAAAAAAAAAAAAGAAAAGAAAAGAAAGAAATAAAACAAACAAACAGAAAATAATGGAGCTCACGGGGACGACGGGAACCTGTGAGCTGGGGCCTCTGGAGTGCGCCCTTCCAGGGGTTCTCTGCACGGCTGCCCTTCCAAATCACCTGGGAGCCGCACATACTGTGTTGCTGGGCCCCACCCTAGAGAACTGTTGTAATCGGTGTGGACTGAAGTCCAGACTCAGGTATTCTTTAAACGTTCCCCACGTGGCTCTGCGTGTAGCCTGGGGTGGAATGAGGCCCCTGCAGTGGTCATCCCTGGCGGATGAGCAAATGGAAACTCTGGCCCCAGGTGGCACCCTGAGGAGAGGCAGAGCCAAGGGCAAGAGGTGGGTCCCCTTGGGCCCTGTGGCCATGCCAGGATGCCTCTTCTACACGGGCCCCTTACCCTCCAGAGAAGATCTTCTCCACGTAGCCACGCATGAAGTCCCTGAGTGCCAGGGTCTCCTCATCCTGGGTAGACTCCATGCTCTGGTTGGAGGAGAAGGATTCGTTGGAGGAGGAGCGGCGGTCCTGGTCCCAGGACGGGTGTGAGGGCGACTCGCCCATGTCATTTTCACTGTCCGCAGACTCAGTGGTCTCACTCTCTGACGCGCCGTCCCCCAGGGAGCCATCCTTGTCCTGCAACGCAGGGGGCGGTGTCTCCAGGGAAGAAGAGGTGGGTGCCTCAGGCCCAAAGTCGATTAGGGAGCCCACAGGGACCTCTGGGGCCTCCATGGATGCAGGAGCTGCTGGGGAGGATGCCTGGAGGGGAGCCCAGCAGACTGGTGTCCCAGTTTCGTTAGCAGGAGTCCACCGAGCTCACAAGCCACTGGTAACTGCGGGCCACTGCTGGCCACCAAGAATGAGTCCTCTGAAGCAGCTCACCTGGGCCTACAGCATCTGGAATGGAAACACAGACACGGACGTTAGCACTGATCCTTAATCACACACTCCCCTAAAGAGAGGAATCTCTGCTCTTCCAAAATTTGGGGTGCCATCATCTTCCTGCCATCCACTTTACTGTTCAATACCTGCTACGTGGTAGGCCCTCAATAAATACTTGTTAAATAAATGAACAAAAAAACATGGACAGTCAGGATTTCTCCCAGCTCTGCAAACAGACTGTCCAGGCATTGCGTCAGCTGGCCTCCTCTCTGTTCCAGCCCCAAGACTGAGCCCACTGCCAGGACAGAAAAGGCCCAGCCTGGGCTGGAAACGGAGGATCACCGGGGACGATGCACCTGCCTACTTGCTGTCAATGGAATCGGTGGCTGTGGAAGAACCTACCTGCTGAGTGACAGACACCTCACCTCCTGGGCTCTGTTCCCATATAGACCATTCCCAGACCGTCAGAGATATGTCCCCTCTCAGCATCCTTCTCGAACCCTCGGATAGTTGCTAAGCATGACATTTGTCATCTGGACCCGTCCCTTCTCCCGGCACTGCAGCCGTCCTGGACGATGACACACCCCCTGGCTCCTCAGGCTGGGCAGCCCTCTCCTCCACTCCCCTCCTCTTTCGTCCGCCATTCCCACATGGAGTTCTATTCATCCCTCCAGGCTCTCCACGGCCGCATCTTCTGAGAAGCTCCACTCTGCTCCTATTCAAAATGAATGTCTGATTCCTCGGCAGACTCCAGCAGTTTATTCAGCCTCGTTTATCATTCTGCTTGCTTTACTGACAGACACCAGTATCTCTGTGGATTTGAGTCTTCCATTCTAACCCAGGTCTCCTGGCTGCTGGTTCAGGAGGTACTAGGAAACCTTCCTCGCCAGTACAGAGGCAGACAGCTAAGGGGGAAGGGGACACCCTCTTGACAGCCCCTCAGAGAAGAGCACACCTCTAACCTCAGCCCTATCTCTATTAGAGCCCAAGTATCTAGGACAACGCCTGCCAGTGAGGTAGCTGTGAAACTGCTGAACGCATCTTCAGAGGACAATTCAATAGCAGAATGGCCTTTTCTGCCTTGTAAGAGCTTAATGCTCACCGATCAATTATGGATTCCTCCAAATCCCCCAGCCTGGGGTATTTTTAAATACCCCGAGTCAGACGGAGAAAAGGCTGGCTGCGGGTCACCAGAGTGATGAAGGGCATGTTCAGGGAAGCCCCACACAGCAAGCCTTGGTCTGGAAGAGAAGCACGACCTCAGCTCTGAAGACCTTTCAAGCTTAGGACAGCAATAAGCGCCCTGATGAGCTCAGAAGGCAGTGGCCACAGCTCAGGGGGCTGGAGAGCGGTGAGTGGCTGATCGGCGTCTCCCCGTGCCATCTGCGTCCCCGGCCAAAGTCCGTACTCTCTGATGGGTCCCCAGCTAAGGCATCAAGATTGGCTCAGAGACTCAGGGCCCTTCCAAGAGCACATTCTCACTCGCCACAGAACAGAAAGCCACACCCACAGTAACATGCCGGGCATGAGAAACGAGAAACCACACTAGGAAACATTTATAGTAAATGTGAGAGGACAATGGAGTCCGTGGTATCTGTATTACAAATTCACACAACTCTAAGAAATCTACATTCTAACAGCTACACAAACCACTCAAGTCGGCAAGACACCCAAGAGGAAATACAACTACAGGCCAGGCTTGGTGGCCCTCGCTGTCATCCCGGCACCTTGGGAGGCTGAGGCGGGTGAATCACCTGAGGTCAGGAGATCAGGACCATTTTGGGGACATGGTGAAACCCCGTCTCTACTAAAAATACAAAAATTAGCCAGGCTAATTAGACCCCCCGAGAGCACTGAGAACTGGCTCAAGGAGGTTGGGGAGGTAGACCTCTGAGCTGAGACAGAAAGAGGGAGAACCAGCATTGAAAAGACCTGAGGGTGACCTGGGCAGTGGGAACATGAAGCACACAGCCCTTAAGGTAACTGCTCTAGAAAGTTCAAGAACCAAGGAGGCTGGGGAGCCACTGCTCATGGAGAAGAGGCCGCAGTGGTCTGTATTCTGGAGGGGGTTTCCTCACCTCCTGCTGCAAGCCCCTCCGCCCCACTTCTCCCACCACTTCCTCTTACCCCACAGCCTCCGCTATAGAAGGAACTCACGAGATTGCCTGGTGTGGCTGCTCCGCCACGTCCCCATGGAGCTGTGCTCACACTGATTTCCCCAGCATCCCAGAACAACCAGAGCTGTGGCTTCCCTAGCAGGCTGGCCTTGGGCAACCAGACAAGGGCTCCCTGCAGGGAGAAGGTGGAACTTTCTGTAAGCCTGCCCCTTGCCATCAATCTCAAGACACTCCTCTCTTTTAGTGTCTCCAAGAACCCCAAATGTCCTTCTCCTCTCACCCAGAGTCTGCAAAACCTCAGGCAACACACAACACACAACACACACAGCATCACAGCATCACATGCGGTGGTGCGCGCCTGCAATCCCAGCTACTCGGGGGGCTAAGGCAGGAGAATCGCCTGAACCCAGGAGGCGGAGGTGGTAGTGAGCCGAGATCACGCCATTGCACTCCAGCCTGGGTGACAGCACGACACCATCTCAAAAAAAAAGGAAAAAGAAAAGAAACACAATTAATAAAGGCTTAGACAATTCTTCAACCCATACAAATAACCACAATATAAAAATGCAAATTAAAGTCACAAGGTACCATCCTATACTAAATTAGCAAAAATTTAAAAACTATCTAAACACTGCTAAAGTTATGGTAAAATTAACATTCTCAAACACTGCTGGAATAGGGATAAATAGTACTCAAAAGGCAATTTCTATTATTTGTATTTTTATCTCTTCTGATTAAGGAATTCAAATGCTTGGAATTTATCCTAAGAAAATAATTCAAAACACTCAAAAACAGTTATGTGGAGAAAAACGCTCACTGCAACACTATGTATAATCCTGATTAACTGGGGAGGAGAATCGAAAAAATATCTAAACATAGTAAAATGGGCCGGGCATGGTGGCTTATGCCTATAATCTCAGCACTTTGGGAGGCCGAGACAGATGGATTACCTCAAGTCAGGAGTTCAAGACCAGCCTGGCCAACATGGTGAAACCCTGTCTCTACTAAAAATACGAAAATTAGCCAGGCGTGGCAGCGCATGCCTGTAATCCCAGATACTCGGGAGGCTGAGGCAGGAGAATCGGATGAACTCGGGAGATGAAGGTTGTGGTCAGCTGCGACAGCACCAATGCACTCCAGCCTGGGCAACGGAGCAAGATTCTGTCTCAAAAAAATAAAAAAATCAATGCAGTAAAATGACAAATCCATGTTAAAAAGTTGAGGCAGCAGTGACGAGTATACGACGCAGTTAGGAAAGCGCTCCCTTTCTAGGCAAGTTCACAGAAGATTCTGCAGTTGGCCAGTGTTTACCGGACGCTGCTGCCTGCCGTCCCCGTTCTGGGTGCCAGGGATTCTGAAGTGAGAGGAAGTGCGTTTAACTCTAATTACAGGCACGTGCACATATGCAAATGCATGGGAAAGCATGCCGACGTGTCTGCCGGTGCCGGCATGGGGTGACGTTCTCTTTCGTTTTGTTCATTATCCTGACGACGCGTGGCAAACACTCACGGTTCAGAGGCCAAAAGGAAACAGGTCACAGTATCTGGAAGCCGCTCAAGTGGTAGCAGGGCCGTGTCTCAGCCCACACACAGGAGGTTCAAGATCAAGCTGGGGCTGGGCACAGTGGCTCCCGCCAGTAATCCCAGCGTTTTGGGAGGCTGAGGCAGGTGAATCACCTGAGGTCAGGAGTTCACGACCAGCCTGGCCAACATGGCAAAAGCTTGCCTTTACTAAAAATGCAAAAATTAGCCAGGAGTGGTGGCAGGTACCTGTAATCCCAGCTACTTGGGAGCCTGAGGCAGAAGAATCTCTTGAACTGGGGAGGTGGAGGCTGCAATGAACTGAGATCACATCCCTGCACTACAGCCTGGGCAACAGAGCGAGGCTCCGTCTCTAAATAAATAAATAAATAAATAAATAAATAAATAAATCAAGCTGGATGATTGTGGCTATTTCTGATCCAGCCTCAGGCACTCTCGGGTTGGTCAGATGCTCTCACAAGTCACCCTCTCCCAGAAGCCCTTAGAGCTTAGTGCCGCCTCCATGGGCAAGCACAGAGGTGACATCACAGGAGAGGCACAAAGTGAGAAGAAGCAGATGGGTAGCAGGAGGGCTGGTCCTGCATGCCAAACAGTGGTAGTTTGCACCACCCCGTCCCCAGACCCCTCAGCTCAGGGATCTCAGCCATCACAGCAGTGACTGTGTATGGACATGGCAGGAGAAGAAACCCCACCCTCTTCCTTTAGGAAGGAAAGGTCATCATGGGCCTCCAGGCAGGACAAGCGATGGCCACTGTCACATGGCAGGGTCATAGTCTCGGGTGCCTGCCTACCTGCCTGGGCCAGCTGGCGAGAACAGAGGGGGTGGTTCAGCAGGCGGCCCACACTGCCCCTGCTCAGAGCCAGCCCAGTGCTGCTACTCAGGAATGCAGACTTCAGGGCAGCAGGTCTTCCACAGGTTTCTAAGGGATGCTGCAATCTCATTACGTGAAATCTTCCTATTTTTCAATACCGGTAACCCATTTAAATTTATTTCACAACACTTTGAGGGTCAAAAAACCCATCTGTGGATTGCACCCCAGCCCATCTGCTATGGTCTACATGCAAAAAGGTACTGAAGCCCACCTCAGGTCCCAGACTCTGAGAAATGGTGTTTTCGGCCACAGAGGACCCTGTGTCACTGGAGATATGAACATGCCTGAAGCACTGCAAAGCCCCCTGAGGTTACACTTTGCAATTGGTGTCGTAGCCCCATGATGAAGGTTTCCCCAATCAGGTTAGGCTAAAATTCTAAGTCAACAAACATCCATTCATTCTGCAAACGTGTACTGAGCATCTACTATGCACCAGTTACTGTGCAAGGGGCTGGAAATAAGGCTATGAGTGAGACCTTATGGGT